AATATCACTTATCAGAATAACTATACTTGGCACGTTTCTCAACCTGCTAATATTAGGCATGATCGACTTTTTTGTTTTTCACTGACCATTTACTAGATGATAGGCCGCTTTGAGCGTTATATTCATGGAGGAACACTTGGGTCGATATCCTGCTGTATCATCCAAACTAACTCTGTATGAGTGGCGCTGTAGTCGGACATGGGTCAGACCCTTCCACAGGACGTTGCCTGCACAATCTGATTGGACCCCCATCGGCAGATACTTGTAGCTGCTTGGTGGCAACGCGAACACAGAGACGTAGAAATCCGAGCCGGGAAATCTAATTATACATCTTCTCAAGGTACCTGAAACCATGCTGGCCGAAACACTTGGGTGCGTGTATTAGATAGATGGCTATTTGAAACTAAAATCAGGCAGTCTCATATTTTCGTGTAGTTCGTACACTGTTACCACGACAAATGTTGGTCCGTAAGCCAGTCCCGGAACTGTCCTTCACAATGAGCAGTCTCACACTTAAATGCGGTGATATCGGTGTCCGTGTAGATAGGTACAAAATCGAGAACAGCACTTTTGATTGTGGTTATATTTTTACACGACATGATCCCAGCGGGTCTTCTTGTCTTCACTTCCTGCAACTACCCATGAAAAACGCTTGCAGATCTATGGTCACGAGACATTAGAAGGTCATTGCAACGAAAGACTCAAGAGAAAGAGAGCTACTAACGGTAGAGTGATGGTCCTCCCATTATCGCACTTGATGAGAACCATTTGAGTACCCTATAGCGGATAAGACCCCGGTTAAATGATGTACTGCTCGAGAGAACGGAACTCACGCCGAGCATGGAGCTGGTGGACTCGACGACACCTCTAATGAGTTGTCCCCTCGAGCCGTAGAAGAAGACGCGTGAACCACTCTAAATAGTGGAAATGAAAAATGTGTGTAGAATACACCGTGAAGAACGCAAAGAGGACACACTGGAAACGCGTTCATAGGCAAAACAGGCTAGCAGGTAGGTTGGTTGGTTGGTAGAATTACGATAGGGCAATGGATGGCTGCAAATCTGAGTCTACGCAATGCGCTGGTTTAAATACCTTCAAACCATTGTTGTCTCAGTTCCGGGATTATGGGAAATGGTGTATCATGTATGTAACGGACCCCAAATGATCTGGGAAATTCGGACTTGGAGTGCACAGAACAACCACCCAGAACTGGTCCGAGTTAGCCACAACCGATGATTTGCGTGCATACTCTCACAAGCACTAATGACAGGCGCCTAAGGTATAGATAGTTCAATACTTCGTGCAATTAAAGTGGCGTATATAATCCATACATTCATTTTATACATATATGACGGTTCCGAAGGGAAGCCTGAGACTCGAGAGATTCAGAACAAACTGAAGCGGGATCGGTCCAAGGACATTTGGGGAGCTACGGTCGCACACAACTTATTCGACGGATATGCAGATTTGAGGTGCGAAGAATTTTGGTACAGTCAAACCCGAGAGTCTCATAATTGTTATGGTCAGAGACCTCTGTCACTCGGAGTTCGTTATTCAGTATCCGGACTATGCTCTCATCAGATGTTACCCTCGCATCTTATGAAGTATGCATTGTACACGGATGCAGAAAGTTAGAAACTTTGAATGAGAGAACCCATCCGATGTATGTCCAATCGTGCGGGCATGTAAGAACCACCTGGAATGCAGGGCCGGATAGTGGATGGTGCCGAGAATGACCAAATCGACAAAGCGTAACTAGTACGGACCTCGTTGCTCTTCTCACATCGCTTAGACATACATTGGTCGAAGGGCCGTGGCGCATCTCGACTCCCAGAGGGAGCACATCGGAATACTTAGTTCAATAGCGAATTCTATAGGATCCATGCCGTATGTACCATGTACATGCATAGGACGTGTGACGGGAATGAAAAGTCCTGCCTCATACTAGATACTCTATGCGTGTATTACTGGTAGTAGCCATCTTCCCAAACCTTAGAGACCACTTACTTTAGGCACGTCGATACAATTGTTTTAGCCTACTATCTGATGGGCTAGTCGGCTAGAGTTTAGAAGTATGAACATCTGTTAGGATACTGGTAGACACGCGTAGCTTGATTCGTTCCCTCGTTCCTGGCAGAGATAATTAGTCCGGAATAGCCCCAAACAAAAATAGTACCTCCGCTGGCTGAAGCGTCACTATGACTGCCCAGAAAGTGGAAGCCTTTTGGGGATGATAGGAAAAACAATTTAATCGTGGCCTAGTACGGGAAGGAGTGAGAGACTGGCACATGAACCGCATTGAAGAGTTCTTGATGAGGTCTCTGTGAAGTCGAGGCATAAGATGAAACAGGTCCAAGGTGAACTATAGGAAGTTTACGGGTGTCCAGGTCGTTGTGCACAAGACCGTAAATCTCAGACGAGTGAACAAGAGGACGAGCCAACAAGCAAATGAAGGCGTGGCTTTTCAGTACCGTGAGGAACGCGATAAAGGTCTATGGCATCCGTAGGGCATGACCTAGATTCACAAGTTTATTTCCAGGATGGTGATGGGGCGCCAGCGGTTGAGGGAGTATTATGGGAGAATAGTTAATAGGCACCGTCTAAATCGGTAACCCAATGGGGTCGAAGGCGAAGTGCGGCGACCTTCCTCATTTCGGAGATACACTACGGAAAACACACGATTCATGAAGGACTCATAAGTCAAAGAGAGCGAACCTGGAAGAAGGAACGCGACGTCACAATCGCGAAAAGGTAGCTGAATGGCAAGATTATGTACCTCGAGACCTGATTGCGCAGGATGCAGCGGTACGAGTCATTATCACCCTCTTCCGGAATCACTGGTTCTTGGCATATAGGCAATCCATCTTGTCATGTGCACACTTTAGCGGCCAATGACAGATTGATAGTCGGTGATGGGAGGAGGTACCGGCTGACGTTAGAATCTGTGAGCTAGTGGACATGACAAAAAGATACTCGTGCTTTTCGACTAACCTTGATACAACCAGCGCTACCGGCTCCAGTATACAGTTCAAAGAATGATGGAGTATACAGAAAAAACACAGTAAAGATGCTGTCGCCATAGCATTGACGACGGTTGCCGAGTATAACGGAGATTCAGTAGCGCACCATCAGCTTCCGGGTCAGAGAACAAGATCGGTGGTACAGCAAGCATCTGCCTAGAGGATCGAGACATATCCTACGCAGGAAGATCAGCATCTAAGAATTATCGTGGCAATCACCGGGCGGGGTATCGGCGAGGGCGGGGACCCTGGAATGTTACAGCGCTTGTGTCCTCTTTGTAGTGCGAGAAATTTCTTTGTGGTCGCGTTTAGTCCACCGCTGATTCAGTATCCGAGTATCGGTATCGATGCCCAGATTATTCGATGCTGTGGTACCCTGCTTACAGCGTAGTAATAAATGTGGAAGAGGTTCATCCACCGTGCTGCCTTGTTCCTGGGAAAATAGGTGAGTCACCTTATCAAAGACGTAAATCCTACAACATTTCGGTTCTGAGTGCGCATCCTGTTCAGATTAGAAAGAGCTTCTGTCAGAAACGGGCCGGTAGATGCACGAAGCCGCTCTGAACCAGGACCTCACTCGCCGCAGAAGGAAAGTTAGGCAATGACCAAATGAATCCGGCTCCTTGTCATCATATGACAATCTTTATTGATGGAAAGGCATCACAGCAATTAAATACCGCACGGTAACTTCAGATTGTGAAGCACAACGGGAGCACATGACTCACAATAGAAGATTTTTGTCAATACGTGCATGCCGTGGACATCAGACGTTAACAAGGCCCTCTTTGTCATCGAAACGCGCAGTAGTTCATTGGAAGACTTTCTGGATCATAGATTCAGCAATCGGCTCGGCGGAAAATCAAGACACGTATGGCTGAGCTGTATCAGAGGAGATAGCCAATTAATCCAGTTTTCCAGTAATAGAACAAGGGAATGTAAGCCGAGATGTTTCATAGAGGTGCTCATGAAGAAGTGATCAATGAAGCCCGGACCGTAATCGATGAGTAGGCATTGAAACAACTTTCAGAACCCAGCTAAAGATCACGAGTTACGCGTTGTAGTATTCAAAAGATTTTTCTTACAGTGAATAGAGGACAAAGATCAAAGAACTCTAGAAAGCGACTCTCAGCAGTCAATGACGCAGACTGCGGCCGTGCTACCAACTCGGGTGGGTTCAATGAGTACCCCATGGCATTCTGCAAGATGGAGGTGACAAGGAATAATTCTGCTATTGCCGAGGGTCTGAAAACGAGACCGTGGATGGTGTCGAGGGCGGTGAATGAGCGCTGAGAAGGAAAAAGGATCGGAGTCACGACCAGTCACGGTCACATGCCTCCCGTTTTTGGATGAGCCCGTTTTGCCGCTTGCGATCACGGTCATCGAGGCTACGCCCATCCATCTGCTTTCTCTCGATATTAATGTCACCACTCAGCCTCTTTATGTAGCATTATATCATGAATCCTAGTGGAGAATATCAAACTTGAACCGACCTCGGAGTCGCTCCAAACCGCGACCTGAAAAAGCCTCCTCTGTAATGCCCACCACTAGCCCCCGCCCACGTCGACACCAGAAAGAGCGGAGACGCTCAGACAATGAAACATAATATATATTATATCTTTCTTGTCAAAGCTTTCCGCGCTGGTGCCTAACCGTTGTGCTTTTTTAACTCCTCGAGGGACGCCTTGGACGAATGTATAAAATTTCCTTCGTGAAATGGGCACATCTCGCAAGAGCATAGACAATGATCCTAGACCCAAAAGCTTAAGACAGCTAAAAACGACTCAGTGGACGATGCGGTAGTTCCGGTTTCCACTCTTGTTGGCCTTCCTTTAACACCCGTACCGTTCTTGTATTGAGTCAACGGCAATACATATTTTCTGTCCACTCTGCGGCCGGCAACTTCAACTTGACTCGATTTAGTACGCGACCAACTATCCCGGGCCGAAAGTCCGAAATCCTTCTTTGTCTCTATCCATCATCATGACAGACGGCGTCAAGCCATTGCAACCACAGCAAAGTTCAAATGCGACCTCCTCAAGCTCCCTTTCTACCCCTCCACCTCCACATACTCAAGATGTTGAACATGGAGTGAGCGAGACTAGCCCTTTGTATCACAGTCAGTTACTGTTCTTTCATCTTCTGGCACATTCATCTCATTGTCTCATTCACATTCACAGGAAACCTCACTGACTTCGTCGCTCCACAGAAGATCACATCGTGAGTCGCTGTCTCCTTCCATGCTGGATAATGTCCGAATTCTGGCCGGCTCAGAGCCTATCAATCAGCATCAGCATCGTCTTCTCGGTGTGTCCCAGAGCTCCTTTATCCTATAAGATCTGATGAATCTGAAGGGGAACCCTGCAGACCATAGTTATATTTACTATCTGTACGATCGTCCTCACTCTCTTCCTCCACGGCCTCTACGAAAAGAAGAAACACCAACTCATACGCGAGGGCCTCGTATGGACCAATCTTAGTCCATCAAGCCAATGTCTCCGATACAACACTCAAGAATACGCTGCCGAGCTGGCCGGCGTACCAATTGATGGAAACATGAGGCAGTGGTGTGAGGAGAAGCAGATCACCATTCATGGAATAGAGTTCAAAACACCGGCATATTGTACTATTGACGTGGATAAATCGGTGAGGTCGTTATCATCTCCAGGACACCCAGTTGGCTGATCTGGATGTAGGCAGCTACTGTCAGGGTTTATGGCCATTGGGCAGTCGACTCAGATGAAACAAGTTGCAAGACGCTGTGGGAGGATTTCAGGGATAAAGTGCATCCTCTCCTTGTTTGCTTTGCCTCATATTTTGGGACCTGGCTTATGATGCGTGATGGTGTCCGCAGGGTTGTGTATTCAAAGGATTCCGCGTGCGTCCATTGCGCTTGCACATGTAAATAATTCTGATGTTTTCAAAGTGTATCGAGGCTCGTATGGGAAACTACCAACTACCATGGGATAATTGGCGGGAGATGTGCTTTATGACTCTGGCAGATTATGATGGGCATCATTTCGATCACCTGGATAGTTGTGAATTTGTAAGTGATCCTCATATGCTAGATTTATTGATGCTGAGGCTTAGGTTTTAGGGTATTTTCACTCTTGCGTGGGGCGTCTGGTTTGTCAATGATGAGAGTTGCTAACCCACCCTACCTTGCATGTATCATCCTTATCTGGATCCGTAGTTGCCTACAAATATTCATTGCGGCATTTCGCCTTGGTATGATTATCTTCGTAGTGATTCCTTACAGAGAATGTGTTTAAATCAAGAATACCCAAAGTGATACCGGCTGAGGAATTCCAATATGAGATAATTGAACTGGCCATATATGCAATAGCCCAAAAATGAGAAGGACGATGGAAATGTTGAGCGATGATAAGGTGGCAGCAATTGGAAAAGAAGTTATAGCTAAATTGGCCCGTATACCCAATAAGTAGTTTTTTTCGACTGAACAAGTATACCCGCCAAGGCCTTTCCTACCAGCTCTCTTCGCGAAACTGCCGGCCCTACTTGAAAAACCCATCAAAGATGCACGAGGATCTCAACGCGTTCTTGAATGTCAGAAGTGCGTATGTTACAAACAAATATGCATCCGCACCTTCCTATCACGTCAATCATCGATTGCATGCATCGTCTCCGAGCATATGCATAAGTACGTCAGCTATTTTCTTCCCTGCTTCCCATGAAACAGAGCACGCCTCTGAATCTGTCCGCAGAACCCAGGACCTTGGTACCTGGCTATGTTGGTGTGGGTACCTATTGGGGCTTTGATGATCGATAAGGAAGACAACTCACTCACTTTCTTGCCCTAGAGAACTGAGAACTTGAGTCCTAACATCGGACCCCACCTTAATCATAATGCATGAAACGCCAAAAGCCCGGCCTAGTCTGCTGTATACTGATAGGATGTGCTATGATTGTCTGGGTGAATATAAAAAATTGTGTACCTTTCTCTTGATGGAAGATGAGGCAAGAGACTTGCCAGGAAGATACCAGCTTTCCGGTCTGAACTACCAAATTAAGCAACACCCCAATCACATGTTTCATTTGATTGCTCTTGTTTGAAAATTTCAACGCCTTATCTTTCTTCCTTCCTCCTACATTCCTCGAATGCATACCCCACCAGTCCACTAGAGCATGAGAATAACCTGTACCCGGGCATGCTGAGTATTTGTCCTTTACTTAGACCGTATTAGTATTCGCTTCCAGTCCTTCCTCGATGAAAACGGTCTGATCAGGGTTAGACCCTTCGACTCGGAGTGCCTCTGGAATAGATGCTAGTGAATGTGAAATGTTACGACTCCGTTACCGTAAGTTCCCGTAATTACCAACCCTGAAAACGTTGCCCTAATCGAACCTTGTTTTCTCAGAAGTTGCATACTTCGTCCTGTGCATGCGAGTAGGCAACAATTGGTCTTTGTTTGGGGGTTGGCACACAGGATGACTCCATGCCTGAAGATATGCGCTAACCAGGTTGCTACAAACTCAGACCTACTTCTTTGGCATATCTGGCGGCATGTCTCACCGTTGCTGGGACATGCCGGGACATAGATACGGTGTAAAATGCTACTGAGGTGTGCTCCATATGCTCTTTTTCAAAAGCTACTGCCAGCTAACCCAACGTTCGATTAGCTTGGGTGTGGACTGAGTTGTGAACAATGCCTTTAGATGTGCATTGCCTGCACTCGAGAGTTTCAGGACATACTCCTCTTACCTGTCCCATTGTTCCTCTTTCACTTTATAATGTCACACCGTTAGTCTCCTTCCTCACACATCATCCTCTGATGAACCGCACATTCCCCTTGCATTTTGACAGCCCCGTTGGGCTGGATGCACGAAGCTCTGTTGCGTCTGTAATTTCTCACTGAGATTATTACTTCCGCGTGTTTCCCGTGCCCCTAGTTTTGCTCACGATTGACCTCTAACCTCTGTAGAGATCGTACCGATATCAGAGATCGCTCTGGACTCGTATCTTTGTTGGGTCACAACTCCGCAGTTTCCGGCCTTGAGGTAAGTGCACAACCCTTCGTTTTCTTGTTCTTCTCGCATGATGCAATATCTCTTATATTTACTACTTCAGAGGGTGAATATACTCACCCGATGAGACCATTTTCCCACCAAGATCTCTGATCCTCTTTCCTTTTCATTCCGTCTTGGTCGGGGTGTAACTACATGCTTACATTCACATGTCAGGGTCATGCTTCCATCAAGACTACGAATCACTATGATTGCTAAACACTAGATGGCAGCCCCCCAAGGGCCAGTCTGACCTGTAGTATGCCTGTAGTCCGTAAGGTGATGAGCCTGTCTTTGTCATCTGTCTTACTAATACCAAATTTTTCATACCAGACAACAAACCTAGTATCAAACAGGTACATTGGGGATGCACCCTTGCTGTGCTGCTCAGTCATTTATTTTCACTGTTCCTGTAGTTGATATGATACTTTGGAAATGAAAGGGATTCTTTATACTGCTTCGCGGACCGAGGATCTGAGATTGCACTCGGTGGTTGGATGACTTTCCACACCTTAACTGAATCCGAGTCCTCAATTATTGCATTGGCATTTGGATGTGTGGTCCACATCCACTGACCGCCATCTTTTTTCGAGAATGAAAGACAGCATTGATTTCTCTCCCGTTACTCCTAACGTGAATGAAGGGTACCCGCTGACTACACGAGCCTGTTTTTCGGGCTTGCTATTTCACAAGGTTGAGTTTCCAGTGATGCAACATGGGCAATGAGTGGAGGGTGCACAGACTCGAATTCTTTGAGCATTTATCGGTTAGCTGAAGTGACCTTGGAATATGAGGTTAACGCTGGAGGAGAGCTAGCACAGTTAAGCCTAGTGATCGAAGAAGATGTGTAGGAAACAGGCTATTTCCGCTCATGGTTATATGGAGCGAGAGTGATGTTCAGTTTCCTGCAGGGTTGGAAGGGACTAGACCATTGCTGGGTGGATCGGTGGTGAACATTGCCGCCCATTGTGATATGGGGGAGTCAATGCATACCCATTCATGTGGTGGCGAGGCGGTAGCGATGATAGTCTTGGTTCACAGAGTCAGGAAGATGATCGGTCATTCAAGAAAAAGTCATTCCACTGCGTATTGGAATCCACGTTCCCAAAATCGATTGGGATAAACACCTATGGAAACGAATGGTTACAACCCTTCATTCCCTTTTGATGAGAGATCGCATGTAGATATATCTGATGAGGTGCGTTTGACGTTACAGGTGGATGCTGAGATATTACTGGAGTGAAGACCTGGGTTTGATTTATAGTGGGGGAAAAGTCAGATAGACTGCAACAGTTTTTATTTTGAGGTTAGCTTCATCCTCTGACTTCAGTGCCAATAGAAGAAGAATTAATCAGATGAGAGTGTATTTTGGTAAGTAGTACTTAATCACATGGAAATTGTAAACTTCTATGAGCTAGAAACAAATCCCTCAAATGCAGTTCTTATGCACATGGATCTCATCATGCAACGTCTCCCTTCTTTCACCCATTCTTGGCTACCCCGACTTTATGTCACATGAACACAAGATCAAATTTAAGGATGTGCCTCTCCACAGCAATGTCAGGTAGGAGAGAAATAGTATGGCTAATGCTGTGAGATATGGGGATGATATGGTGCTGAGGGTGTTGGGGAAGATGATTTGGGAGGATGTTATGTGATGGGTAGGATTCTTTCCTGGAGGAATGATAATATCATTCATAAAGCTAAAGCTTGACTAGTGATTAGGGATCCTCACTTTTTCAAGGTTAATAATTAATATTGGAGCTGCATTCATATTCTACTGTCAAGCACCAACTCGGATACACAAGGTTGGGCCTTAGTTTGTCACTCGCACTTCAGTGAAGTGAAACAAAGGTAGTGATGCGGATTGTGTTAAGTAGGCAGGACTTAGATAGTCGCAGAGCTTGGAGTTCAGGTAGGAGTTGGGAGTGTATATATTATGACTTCACCCCTATTTTCCTTATCTTATCTTATCCCTATCTTCTGGAACCCTGGACCTACCTATCTTATCTCTCAGACCCACGATATTCTGCCAGCACATCCTCTACCCATTTACCCAGTTGCTGTCACCCCAGTTTACAGCTACCACACCCCAGATGACCGATGACCTGCATGCACCATCATGCTTCTCCTGATGGCATCATACTTCTTAGTAGTTGGGCAAGAGTCAACCACTGGTCGAGGGCAGTCTACAGGATGTGGCCTATTCAAATGGAATCCTGCACAGATGCAGGTGATATGTGCTCTTTACTCTCATTCATTGGGAGTACACTTCTTTTAGTGTCCTCACTCCTCATTTGTTGAAAGATGCACTTTGCACTGCATGTGCCCTTATAGATACTATTCTTAGTATGAGTATAACAAGTACTTAAGCTAGCCTATGCTGTGGCCTTAGACCCCAGCTTCGGCTAAGGTTATATACTCCTAACTCTTACAAGCTCCCTGCTTTCGCTATCTAAGTGATGCTCTAACTTCTTGCAATCTGCCAAACGCCTCTCTAACACTGAATCACCGAACGTGAGTGACAGGATAGAGATCAGCCTTGGTTTAGATTAGAGTTAGTGCATAACAGGTTCTGGGAGATAAGGAAAATAGGGGTAACATCATAATAATATCGAAACAATGGTCAATCCATTCAGCCTCCCACTTTTGTTCATGGAAATAATCCATTTTATAGGATGGATGCATAACTAGGCAAGGCATTGTTGACAGCCATCAACATGGCAGATAGGGACTTACTCATGGCCATATGGTACATGTATGTCTCATCGGTTTTTGAATAGTACTTGCAGAGAACTTGACAAGCTTGAACTGCAGCTGCCTGAACCCCAGGTAAAAGCTTTACATCCACAATGATCTTGTCAAGCTGGTCAATCATGCCATCAAACATGGGGATTACTTCATGGATCAAAGCAACCCCAGATCTTGACAAGCTGATTGTACCTGCTGCAAGGATCTGAAAATTGGTAACTTGTAAGTACATGAACAAGCTAGAAAAACACTGTACAAACCATAAGTATAGGCTTGAGCTCCTCGAGGAATTGCCATTCTAGATCATCAAGCCTGAACTTGAGTACTGCCTTCTTCGGAATTTTGTTCCACTGCCTGAGGTCACAAAATGCATCAAGCACTGGTCACAGTTCCAGAGCATGCCACAACACAGTTCCATGCATAAGCCATCATGTGATGACAGCTTGAATCATGTCTTGGATCTTTATGCCAGTATTCACACACTCCTTTTGCAGGTCCACTTGCATGGCACCATTGTTAAAGATTCAGTGTCCAAGTTTAAAGATCTAGGATAACATACTGAGGTGGTGATTATCAACAATGAGATAAGCATACCTTCATAACAGTGTTCCATCCAATGTTGCCATCCTCATCCTCAAGGTCCTGTAAGTTCTCCACCACATTGAGCAGTTCATCAAGCATGGCTTCTTCATTGGCTTCTCATGTGTCACTGTGCAATTCATCAAATAATTCTTGCTCTTCCACATCGAGCTTGTCATCATCATCATCTTCTAGCCAGTCATCATCATCATCCTGAAGGAAGCTCCAGTTGGAAACTTTGGCCTTCTTGACGAAGTAACAGAATATGGCCTAGATAGATACCATTGAGTTATATAGCAATTGATGATTGTTTGAATGTACCTTGTTTGCAAGGTCAAAAATATGACCAGCACAGAAGATGTGAGTCATTGGACCTGTGATGTGGCCACTCAGGAGTTTTCTGGCACCCTTAAGAGAGTGTGCCATGGTGACATTGTTTGAGGCATTGTCACCAGGCAGTGACAGGAGCTTATCAGTGACTTCAAATTCACGCAAGCTTTTGCTGATCATTTCTGCAAGGTTAACACCCATGTGTGATTTCTTCAAGCTATGTGATGGTCAGTGCAACATTATCAGATGAGCAAGAGAACATACTGAATCATTTCCATTGTCATCACTTGGATCTTTGCATTAGCTACCCAAATCACAACTAAGCCCAGCATTGACAACTTCTGTGGTGCAGCCCAGCCATCTTGAGTGAGGTGAATGTGGCCTCTCATACCCTGCAATAGCTTGGCAATGTGGACCTTCACAAGGTTATAAACATCTTTGATGTCATGTTGATGAGCCTTCAGGCTCTGTGCACTCAGAATTTGCTGATTTATCAGGCTTTTCTACATTGGAGCACAGCCATTGATCTTCAGGCACTTTGATTGCAGATCCTGATTGATCAAATCCCATCATTGATCCTAGCACATAGCCACCCACCTGAAATAACTCAGTCCTACCTGATGACAAGTTAGAGAATTATTTAATTCACAACAGTCAGCAGTGGTTTAGAACTTATTAAGACTGTTTAATTCACCAAGCAAACCCCTTGGATTGCTTGGTAAACTTGTTACAAAGCTTGCTTACTTGCAGTGCAATGCACAGTAATGCACAGTCCTTGTAGCCTGTGAATTTGACTGTACTTGACTCAGCATTGGTAAGGAAGGGTTAATCATGCCTTATTACTCAGTAATTAGTTTGCTTGTGTTATAAATCAACACAGCAAGGAACAGTGTAGCTTACAAACCTTTAATTCACAAAGTAGTATAAAAAGTAGCTAGTTAATTAGTTTATAAAAAGAGAGAAACAGAACCCCACTTGTACACAAGAGACTCCCAGTATAAGATACTCCCCCTCAGTACAGCCTACACATCTGAAGTTATTAATTCTCTTAGCTCATAAAGAGAAATAAACCTTGGTGTACTTCCCTTAGATCTGTAACTTTGGGTGTTTTCCTCTTCTCTATAAACTGCACTAGGAAACCTTTAGTGGTTACCCTTGTGTAGCATCCTCATATTTTTAACTTTGCTTGCATACCTGTGCACTTCAAAGAGCAATCTGCAGCTAGGATTGAAGTCTTTAGCCACTAACAACCTATTCCTTCTGTTCCTGCTGTTAGGAACAACAACCATTGGTTCAAGCAAATTTTCTTAACAGAAAAACATCTCAACAACCATTCCTTTGATTCTACTCAAGGTTGATACTAACCAGCTTGATATTAGGACCTTTAGAGCCTTGTCTTGCTGCTGTTTACTTGGACAACCCTTACTCGTTTATTAGAGCTTTGCCAGTGTCTAGCTTGTTACTAGAGCTTATAGACATTAAACTTGTCATTAGAGTTACCCAGCTCCATTCCCACTACTAGATTGACATATCTAGTTCGTGCCACACCTAAACTGCTTCACATAACATCTCTTCCTTTCCTGCTTGCATATTATTTCCTTCAAGGAAAATTTGCATTTTGACTTTGGCCTCTGTATAGCTATCAGAGAGTCATAACACCCTTGTAGCAAAGTTTGCTACACCCCTAGGAAGCTTTAGTCACTGCATGAAGGTGCCCTGACTAGACTTGCTAGAACCATCCTTCAGATTTCATGTCTGTTAGCATATACCACAACTAGGTTTTGTGTTTCCACCCACAGGAGTCTATAGGTTCATCAGTGTGTGAGTGTGTCAGCAGAATATATCTTGACATCTTTATTGAACATGCATAGAATACCTCGATATTCCTCCCACTCAACAAAAGCATGAGGGAGGTGGTGTCTGGTACTCATTCAAACATGGCAAACATGAAGATGCCCAGGGGTGTAGGTTGAATCTTGCACAAAGGCATTAAGGTTGCTCTGAACAAGCTTCAGTCCATCATCATCTTCACCAGAAGCTTCTTTGCACATGCAGTTGTGGCGAATGAGATTGGCGGTACTGTTGTCATGTGTTATGATTTTTCCATTTTCTACTTCTCAGTGCTTGTCTTTATCTTATCAGAGCATCCAAGTGCTTGGACAGTTCACATGTTGTCAACGCTCGACTCTCACATTGTAGCTGTGACACATGGACATCGTACAATTCTCTTTGTTTCATGCATGGTTACCATTCAGTAGTATACTATTATTAGCATACCAAAAGTGTATTTAAGTAGAGCCTCAGCTGGCCCAAACCCCAGCTTTGGCTAAGGTTTAATCTACCCAACTCAAAGCTCCTTGCTCCACGACTATCTAAGTCTAGTTACTGGCTCATCAGACCAGCATTGCCTACATTGTGAGTGATCCACCGAAGTGTGAGTGGCATTCCCTTGTTTGACATTGTTTGTTGAGTTGGTGGCTAACATTTAGCTGAAGCTTGACCTTTATGTCCCTCATCATTTAACTATGGTGACTGACACACATGTCTCTTCTATCGCTCAACCAAACCATTACTATAACTGTAGCCTTCAGGCTTTTCTGTGCAGGTGTCCTGTTGTACTGGATCAGTAGGATCTTCTCCTGCTGCCAATGCAGAGAGCGTGCATGACTCCCATTGCAACAAATCCCCCATTTACCTGTTCCATACTATGTATACCCTTATCCCCATATCTTAGCACCACCCAAACCCACCCTTCATGATGGAAGACCCATCATGCTCATCTCGTCCCAACACTCCAGTCGACCCAGATCCGTCAACATCATGGAGTCCCTACCAGGATCCAACCACTCAAGTGCAGGATTCATGCCTTTCGCTCATGAGTCAGAACTCGCAGTCGAGTCAGAACCCGAGGAAGAAAGGGATTTTGCAGAGTATATCTGACAAGGTGGAACAATTGATGACCTTGTTCCGTCGTCACTCACAGAAATGACCCCTGACCCCTGTACCAGAAGCTTCTACCTCTTGGCACTCCAGGCATATGAAGAAGCCCTCAATGGAGGCCGCAATGGTGGAGACTCAGATGGAAGATCTTACCATCCTAGGACCCTGTCCCCAGCATCCTCCTCAACAGTTCGAGCTGGGACCACTGGATGGTGAGTGGTTTTGAGCCGCAGCCTCATATGCAGGGGAGACGGTGAAGAGGCTGGCTGTGGGCACCTGTGGAATAGTGAGCAGGCTAAAAGGTGAACCTCAAAAACCCACACACACACTCACACAACTACACAAACTACAATCACCCTCGTAAGTTCTAGAGGGAGCAATTATTTCTAATGCGATCTGACTATACTTCAATATCTCAAAGAGTTTCTCTTATTCTCAGCGCTCTTAGCAAAGCTAAGCTTTCTCTAATGAATCCCTAAGTCTAGGAACTTTTACAGGAAGGTCATTCACTGGCGCGACGCAACCTTCAAGGCAGATTTGAGTTAAAATACACAAGGGACACTGATCCCCACAGAAACAGAGGCAATACATGCCGAAACTTTAGTGAGCTCGCTAAAAGAACACCACAGGCAAGCACTGACTTAGCCCGCTCGCTACACAACTGTATGTAGGGGTTCTCCAACTAACTTCAACAGATGATCTCGACTCAAGAACACTTCAGAAGTGCTCGGAAACAGATTCAGAAAATGGAAACTCGAAACAGAACTGATGCAGAACAGACTGAACAGAAATAGAACAGAACAGACAGAACAGAACAGAACAGATCTCGCTTTTCCTCTTCAGAACATACTCAGAACGGACTTATCAACACTCAATGGAACAGAACAGCTTCACTGATTCTTATTCTCTCGGAACTAAGCGCACAAAAAGTCTTTTCTCAAGGGTATCTCATATTTCTCTGAGTGAGCTCACTAACTCTATGCAAAGCTCGAAGTCACAAACTGATCCTTTGTTACAGTACCGCCTTCAATGCATGCACGGGAACTCAGGGGCTCGAAACTTGGCTTCTCCCTACTCTAACCAGCCTACTTATACTACAGGGGAATTAGAATTACAAATGTCATGCAGTACCCAGACTCCTACATGTGTAGCACGTTGCCACCGCCGCCTTACTGAGCATCCAAGTTGGACTTCCCAGTTTTAGTCTCATTTCTATAGTGAGCTCACTAAACACATGCCAAGAGGTGCTCTCCTGACACCCACAGGCTTGTTCTCTAGCAACTGACAGGTCTAGGCACATGGAACTATCAGTCCTGGCATATGTCATTCAAGACTTCTTTCTTGGATTCACAGAGGCTTCTCATAGACATGGCAACAAGTGAGTCTTCTAACAATGGGACTCAGAACAATGGGACATGGGCTCATGGACTTCAGCCAAAGCCCATTGCCCAAGTTTGTGCTGGTGATATCTGTCATCTCACTTAAGGATTTCCCTGGATTTTCAGGTATGACGCATCACAGTTAGCAAGCGTGCTAAGTACTCTCAGTGTCACTGCAATCTTCAAGGTTTTATCTAGCTCCCATGAGCATGCTTGTAAGTTAGAGCCTAAGGCATTGGGTATAGGGTTTGGCCTTCTCATCATGCATGCCCATCAGGTACAGTGCTGTGACTAAGTCCTGTTTAGAATCCCGTTGCTTCTTATGCCATAAGTTATATTCCATATCATTGCACTGCGTAGCATTAGTGTCAATGCGTAGTTTTAGTCTGCTCGCTCACTATATCTCAGTATGCATGTAAAACACTTTAGATTGCAAAATTACATGCATAAATAGGCTGCAGTCGCAACAACGGATACCAGGGTTTCCGAATCCCAGAGGAAGGAGCTCAACAGGTATCCTCACAAACTGAGGCCACTTCCCCCAAGCCCTACTCGTGCCCCAGTACCCCCCAGTCCAAGGATGAGCAAAGGCAAGCCATCTGGGACTGGATCGAAGCCAACGATGACCTCCTCCCCCTCCCAGATTGACCATGACACCACCAAGGCAAACCTGCCTATCCCCTTTACCACGGTCCCCTTAGACCAGATTTGCTGACCCTCAGAGAGCCCCAGCGACCTTTTGTCACCAAAAACAGATGAATTGCAGATGCACACATGCTCGCCAGCCCTGTCATCCCATTCAAGCAACCATGGATGAGAGCCCATCTTGTGCTCATTGAGTCGGTGATGAGCCTCAAGGCTCTGTACACTCAGAATTCGCGGATTTTAGCATTATAATAAATGCCTTGTCCACTTAGTGGACTTTCACTAAGTCAACAATTGCAATCACAGCAATACCCACTCTTACCACCAACTATCCTTCCCAGCTCGTATTCTGTATCAATATGTGCCATTTCATTAATGCTGCCAGGCACCTGATTGCAGATCTCATGGATTTAGGACCATCATTGATTGCCCAGCACAGCCATCGATGACATCAGCATCAAGCGTCATTTAGAAGAATGCCACAGTCAAAGTACCAACTCCATGGCAAAAGACCTAGTACCGTGACCTTTCCACTCACTTGACTAAGGCTGTTACAATGCCAAGATAATGCCACACGCATCTACTTCAGTACACTCACTTCAATGTACTTTGCTGCAGCAACACAGCAGCCCAAGAGTCTGTATGTCGGGGGAATTCTTTCTGATCACTAAGTCTATACGCAGTAAAACTGTGTGGGTGCTGTTACTTTAGAACTCTGGGAGCATGTGTTTTGTATCATTTCTTACCAATCTATGTACTAGGGACTTACTAAGGACTCATTTCAAGTATTCTAAAATTATTCCGGACTTGTAGTATAAAAGCTAGTGTAGTAAGAGTTGCTAGACGGAAGTTACTGGACACTAGCCACCATCCATGTTATCGACCACCGTTATTGCTTGTACTCACTAGGAGATAGACAATAACAACATAGTCACTCCAAGTTATACTCTCTGTCACGGCTTTTCTTCTAACGGTATTGGTATATGCTCATATTGCGCCAATACATGGAATTTGGTGTCCACAACTAGCTTTTATCTTTTAATCCGCCAGCATCATTTCACTTTCACCAGCCAGGATCATTTTCATCAGTTTTCACCTTCTACGTCACCATCGTTTTACCCAGCTCAGTTCAGGGATCGTTACGTCCCCATGTGGACTCAGATTAGGATCATTATTGCTGCCAGTAGCATCTGTCACGGAATTTCAGTCAACAGCTTCAGTATAGGATCATCAGTCATGGTATTTGGTATCTTGCCGTCAGTTTCAGTATAGGATAGTCTCCATGTAGACTCAGGATTAGTATCAGTTTCGTTTTGCTGTCGTTAACCTCAGTATAGTTTCAGTATCAGTCCAGCCCAGTCCCAGCCATCGTTTTGCCATCACTAGTTCCCCCTCATATCATCGCCAGTCGTCTTATCTTCGTGTTACCGCCAGTTTCTCGTTTCTCGACTACAGTCTTCATTTATTGCCGTCACGGTATTTGTTATCTTGCCAATGGTATTTCTCTTTGACAGCATTTTCTCTAATTCTGTCAACATTGCCCACGGCTTTTACCAGTTAATTGCCATCACTTCATTCATGGTTTGCCGGTATTCCCAGTTATACCGGATTCCGTTCCTTCTCGTCTATCGAGACCCTTCCTGGCTTACAGCCAATGTTTTCTAGTACTCGATCGTTAAGGGTACTACTTCGCTGACTGAAAAGTTGCACAGTATACTTGCGTTCTTGAGGAATTCATCGCACGGAGGTGCACCGAAACACTCACACAACAACAAAGCCTTTATTGCCGCTACGTGCCATTTGCCGTGAACTCCTCTAGAGTTTTTGTTTTTGCCATTGCCACAGAAGTTTAGGCTCATCATCGGGACTCGACATTCAGTCTGCCTGGCTCCCCCCAGAAGTCAAGGCCTGTCTGGAGGCTGGAAGAGAGGCAGCAGCACTCTCTAGAAGAATCCGGGAGTGGGAACAGGAACAGTGGCCCCATCACTTCGATGGAAGCTATGTCCACTACCCCCCATCCCCCACCTGGGTCGCAGAAGCCCATCACCCTGAGGCCAACTTTGTATGACTCAGCTATGGAGTGGCAGAACCTGAGGATGTCATAACAAGCTGAGGACTTGGGACCTATGACAGGTACTGAGTACCAGTACTTGATGACAATGTGGCCAGGCGATATGCCGCCCTCTACTCTGGACCACCCCTTGACCCAGGGCAATATGCCGATGAAGCCACCCATAGGAGGGTACTACAGGGAGATCCTGAGGCAGGTCCATCAGGTACTAGATAGGAAGGTCAAAACGACCCCTATTCTCCTGTGGGGACTGACCTAGGATGAGTTATTTGACGCGATGGCCTATGGAGTCCGCACCAACCCCTGGTGGTGGATGACTGAGGCCGGTATTGATTATGTTAATGCTACAAAAATACATGACCAGTTTACTGCCACAAATATCATGATGATGGAGATGTATTGCATAACAGCTAACATATGGAACATGATACATGCTGATGAGCTGAGGGAGTATGGAATCCCATACCGATGACCGGCACCAATGCTGGCAATACCACCTGTGCATGCCGCAGCCCAAGGAGCCGATGACAGCTATGCGGAACAAGAAAATAGTGACTCCACTACCAAGAAGCCGTCACAGTCTCCACCACCACCTCCACCACCAGTCCCTCAAAACACCCGGTGTGATAGTATGAGTTGCTGCGCTCATAGACTGGACATCTCAGGCTGGCTGACTCATACTTCCATTTTTGGTTCACTACATGTCTTTCCTTCTCTTCCACCATCATCTCTGTTTCTTTCATGGCTTTTCTCTTTCACAGCTCCATATTCTTCTCAACACAATATTGCATAGCTCAAGGACCAATGAGCATGCTTTCCGATGCCTTTACCTTATGGGCATTGATGCTCAAAACCAAGACACCAACGTTGAGGTAGCTTGCCTCACCAACAAAAGAGCTGTTTCGAATGCTGGCGGAAGGGTTGGTACTGGTTGTATGAATGTTATTGGTTCATTTTGTCTTCATATTCCATTTCTAATTTCCTTTCTTTGAGTTTCATCATCAATCCCCTCCCTACCCCATCCGATGTGAAGACCAACACCAACAGTGGACAACATCACCTCGGAGCATGCTGGGAATCGAGAAATGATGGCATGGGCCACCATTCATATGCTGAGCAGGGCAGCACCTCTTCTTATGCCATAGTTGCACGTATCCCGAGTGGTTTAGTCTTGCTTGTGGCTGAGGTAACTGAGCTAGGTATTCACTTTCTTCTGACACATTTTGTTATAGAATATATCTACATACATGAAGCTATCAATTACAGGCTCTGGCAACATGAGAGAACATGTACAGCTACCCCCTCTTTTATGTTTGTATCCGATTGACATGAAAATTTGATTTTTACCTTTCTTTGCCTTATACCATGAGCACTGAGCCATTAAGCAAGCCCTGAGCCTTCTCCTTCGAGCCCTGTAAGTGGTCTTTTCATTGTGTGTACTGATTATATCTCTAGATATATTACATCCTCTCTACGAACTCAATCCCATTTCACACCCAGCTGAACAGCAAGTGACTCATGACCTCGCATAATGTCTATGTCCGCTTTGACATATACTGTGACACTGGCCTGGAGGATACCCGAGTCTGCACCACAATTGGACATTGAGGTCGCTACCATGTCCACTGAACCTGGCCTTACCACCGGACCTCCCGAACGGACTGCCATCACCCACGCTGCCCCACCATGTACAGACTCAGAATGCAGCAGACTTATATGGGCAAATAAAGCCAAAACTTGTAAAGGTACTGGATCCCTGGGATGGCTGCTCGAACAAAATACAACGCTTCTTCAACCAGTGTGAAACCTATTTCTCTGTCTTTGCCTGCCACTTCTTGATGAATGAACATGGCGACAATCCGTTGATATGCCTGGTATCAGGCTACCCATAGATTTTGCGATTTTACATCAGTTTATGCAATCTACAAGCAGTACAGAGAGATACAGTGGAGGCTTCACACTGGTAGCTAAATACTACATAAAGAATGAAAGCACAGCAGTACAGAACAGACTTAGAAATGACATCTTGAAGAGTCAATTCTACCAGCCATCAACACACCAAGCTAAGCCCTACCTAAACAAGACTATTACAGTCAAATCTAGGGGACTCAGTCTGTATGAAGTATAAAAACCAAGAAGTTGAAGAATGGAATGAACTAGATGCCTCATCACCTCGACAAGTAGAAAGAACCTGTCCAGAAAAATTGCTAAGTCAAGAAACAGATCAGCTTTCGAGATCAACTCAGGCTAGGAAAGGAATAACCTTGGAAGAATGAATAGCCACATTGGGTACCGAGATGACCGACCTTGATTGCACAGTGATCAACAGAATATAATCTTGGACCTGCAGCTGATCACGATTGGTGGTTACATCCTCGAGATCCTGTGCAGACTGCAGTATTCAATACATACGGCACATGGCAAGCCTTGCAGATGGAAGAAAGAGCACCCACAGACTAGTAGGGCACTCCTCGGCGACAGAATAACCCAGCGCAGTCGCGTCAAACTGAATAGAAACTATGGAATGGCACAATACTTGTAGAATAGTGACTCACTGTTTGTATTAATTCCAAAGCTCGTACCATAATTACTGTAGATACAGGCTCCTATACCTAGAACATGAATCGTATAAATTAGCAGCGACTAGACACATAACGGCAGGAAAGCATTCCCCCATGTTTGTGCTAGTAGCCTGTATAGCTACCTAATCAATCACTGGTTTTATTGCATATCCTCGACTGAAGTGAATTAAGTTACCAAAGTCAACCCATAAGGGTGACTACAGTAATCTAGAAGAGTTAAGTAGGAAGTAGAGCCATCCCCACATTTGTGCCTTGCTAGTTAATTGAACTGCTCTGCGGACAAAGGCCTCGTGTGCTCTCTCTCCCTCTGAGATTAGCGATCTAGATGTTCTGAGTCGACTTTAAGTCAAAAGACCTCATCTAGTTGAAGTAAAATAAGCCCTAGAACACTTTAAGTTTGAACAATCATCAAGTTCAAGGAACTCCAGAGTCTGTGTACTCTTTGCAAGTCTTGTACTTGAAGTCAGAACTTGTGTGTTCTTTGTAGAGTGATTTTGCACTCTTTGTAGACCTCGGAGTCTTTGGTTGTTTGATTATTTGAAGTGTCTGCTAGAAGCTCTTCTAGACGACGTCAAAATGAGTATAACTTGCCCCACTATACCTTGCAAAACAAGTTCATAAACCCTGCTATTGCGGACTAGTGTACTTTGTGTAAAACACATTGAAAGAAGAATTGAAGTTGTTTTCAGACAAAACCCCACTAGATTATCTAAATCTAAGTACATCGCGAGTGCTTTTATCATACTCACCCTCGAACTTATATACATTGGTGATAGTGTGTGTGTGTGTGATTTAGTATCTAGATTGACGATCTAGACGCTTGTTTCATTTGCATGCTGCCCGTTACCAAGCACATCACCGTATCAAGTAACGTTTGCCCAAGGATACCTCACTGGTGCCACTTGACAATGGTGGGACCAGCAGGAGCATGTCTATTGAGACCCAATTTGTGGGCATTGGAGGTATCCCCACTGGTTCAAATTCCGAGGATGCCTAGAGAGGAGATTCTGAGAAGAGGTGGAGATGGCGATTAAGAAACAAAAGTGGCAGAAGATCAAACAGTTGGACTACAAGTCAGCCATAGAGTTCTTCACTCGCTTCAAGGAGTTGGCCATTGAGTGCGATGAATTCAGAGATGAGAAACAAATGTTTGAGACAGTCGAGAAGGCTATTCGCCCCATGAACAAGAACACCATCATGCATGGAGACAACAACCAGCCCACCACCTATGCAGAGTGGAAGCAATGAGTTGAGCAAATTGATGCCAACTACTGTTACAATGTAGCCCAGTCCAGGGGAAACCCCAATAAGACCTCCTCGAACAACAATTCAGGTCGAGGCAATCAAGGGTCATCCGGAAAAGCCAGCAGTTCTGGGAATTCCAGTGACAAAAAGGACTCGTCAGGCACAACATATGGCAGACAAGGACAGCTGATGGAAATCAACCAGCTGAAGAAAGACAGATGTTGCTTCCAATGCAGCCACACTGGACATATGTCGTGTGACAACAAGTGCAATAGCGACAAGTCCAAGTGGATCAAGGTAAAGATGCTGCCCTGCAAGAAAGCCAACTCGGCATGACTATGACAACTGCTTGCAGAAGCTGAGAAAGAAGAAGGATTAGCAGAGACAACAAAGGTCGAGGAGGTAAAAGATGAGCTGGCAAAGGAATAAGCGATTCACCTTTGTTGGCCAAGGACTTCATGGACAAGGGTATGAGCTCATCTGTCACAGGTCAAATTTATAATACTTCTGTAGGTACCACACATGCAAATCATAACTGTTTTTCTGTGCTCAGTATCAAATCCATGGAGTCAGAATCGCAAAACAACAATGGGGTATGAGGGATTTCCCCCACCGCCAACTCAGCAGTGAACCCCAAAGGTCAGGACATGCTGCCTTGCGGGGGCACTGATGACATGAGAGGTCAAGACAAAGGCCAAACTGGGGCCAAACTCTCAGAAAAGCATGATGCATGCGCAACTTCAGAAATGCACAAGGTTGGTGCTGCTGCTGGCAGCACTGTACCAAAAATGAGTAGGCACCGGTGTGATGCTGATGAACCCCTCAGGAAAGCAGAAGTTCAAGCCGCAAAGCTGGAGGAGGCCTGTAGCATAACAGTGCTCCCAGATGAAGGTTTGACAGCAACTGAATCCATCCCCAGAAGCAGGGACGATGCCCAACCTCGCATCAAGTTGCCAGGGGGGTGAGAAGACAGCAGGAAACTGGGCAAGCCAGTTGATGAACAGATTCAAGTATCATGGAATGCTATTGCGACAGAGAAAGGACATTCGTGACATGCAGCTACCTCAACCATGGTTGACCCTTGCGTCATTCTCAAGCCCGACGGAGAAGTGTGGATTTATCAGGTGAGCTTTCCTACTTTACATAATGGCACTGGGGGCTCATGTCCCTCAGTGGGCAGGCAGGAGGGACCATTATGTTCTTCCAAAAATACCGTAACCATAGAAGAGGTCCCAGATGAGGAGGACAATTTCAGTTATCTACAGAGTTTGAAGAACTCTAAAAAATCTTCCCTGTGCAGGCCATCCCTGAGTGGAAAAGTCCCTAGTAGCACAAGCAAAAAGGCAGGAGTCTCAGTAACTGCAGAAGAACAATGGGCCACAAAACCTGCAGTGAACAGTGACCAGGGGAAGACCACGAAGCTGAATGGCCTTCCGGCCAAGTACTCTTTGTCAGAGTACCCTGAATGGCAGTGGATGCAACTGTTTGGTCCTGACTGGACTAGATGCACACTCCACTTAGCCAAAACAATCAACAAGGCATGAGGGATATTAAACAGATGGGTTCATCCTCGACGTTTGACAGAGGTCACAGATGACTTGGTAGAAAGCTTGAAGGAGAAGGCAAACGAGATGTATTGGGATAGAGAAGAGGTGCTGGAATGGCTCGACAACCTACAACACTCACCCGAGTACATACGAGGAGGACAGGGGAGGAGCATCACTATCAAACTCCAACTCAAAACTGTTGACATGCTAGATGTGTACAATGTCACCACGTTAGTAGACAGTGGTTGTACCGGAAGCGCCATTGATTGCAAGTGGGCCAAGAGTCACTTCCTGAACACACAGAAGGCGGTTCGCTCCACCCCAGTGTATAATGCTGATGGAACCCAAAACAAAGGTGGCGACATCACCAAATATGCGGAAGTAAGGTTATGAATCGGAGACCACAGCAAAATCATAGAGCTGGTGGTTGTCAATCTCAGAACCATGCCCATATTCCTTGGGCATGACTGGCTACAGTGGCACAATCCTACCATAGACTGGAAAACTGGAGCTGTTGTACTAGCCCGATGTGACTGCCGGAAAATACCATTCAAGTTACCCGATAAGGGACCAGATGCAAAATGGGGAGAGGAATTTGAAGAGGGAGACACCATATTGGTAATCGACTTCGAAGAAGCCTTTCATTTACAAGTGATGGGTAGCAAGTCCAACAAGTTGGCAGCCAAAGCGAATGAGAGGAAGGAAGAGAAAACGTTCAAAGAGCTAGTACCAGAGCAGTACAGAGAATTCAAGGATGTCTTTGACAAAGCCAACTTTGATGAATTACTGGCACGAAAGCCATGGGATCATGCTATTGAGCTGATACCAAATGCCAATGCCAGTCTCAACTGCAAGGTATACCTGTTAAACCCCATAGAGCAAAAGGAACTGGATAAATTCCTGGATGAGAACCTGTCCACTGGAAGAATCCAACCATCCAAATCTCCAATAGCATCCCCATTATTCTTCATGAAAAAGAAAGATGGCAAACTCTGACCTGTCCAGGATTATTGAAAGCTCAACGAGATAACCATCAAAAATCGGTATCTGCTACCCTTGATCTCTGAGTTGATGGACAAGCTGAAGGGTGCCAAATACTTTTCCAAGATGGACGTGAGGTGGGGGTACAATAACGTGTGAATCAAACAAGGAGACGAATGGAAAGCAGCCTTTAGAACCAACCAAGGGTTATATGAGCCTCTGGTAATGTTCTTTGGACTAACCAACTCTCCGGCCACATTCCAATGGATGATGAACGATATCTTCAAAGACCTAATCGTGGAAGGCAAGGTTACTGTATACTTGGACGATATCCTAGTCACCACCAAGGACAAAGCAGAACACTGGAGATTGGTAAAGGAAGTTCTCAAGTGCTTATGAGAGAACAAGTTGTTCCTAAAGGCAGAAAAGTGTGAGTTTGAAGTGGAAGAGATGGAGTATTTGGGAGTCCTTATAAGCGAAGGAAAGGTCCAAATGGACCTGGTCAAAATCACTGGACTATTAGAGTGGCCCACTCTGACAAAGAAGAGGGAGTTGCAATCTTTCCTGGGGTTTGCCAACTTTTACCAGTGGTTTATTCGAGATTACAGCAAAATCATTTGACCACTGACTAAATGGACTGGGAAGACCCAGTGGAGTTGGAAAAAGGTGCTACAGGATGCATTTGAAGCGATCAAGGATCTATATATTAAGAGAGGTAGCAAGAAGATGATATAATAAGCGGACTTTGAATTTTCCGGCCATTGCCATGCCATGGTAAATTCTGGCTGAGTTCGAACTTCACCATGCTGCTTTGGTGTGGCTTCATGTCTGTGCCCTTTCCTTCTTACCCCCTGCTCTGTTCCACTCCCCCCCATAGCATATCATCCCAGGCAAGCATAACAGCTCTTTTATATATAGATATTGGGTCCATCTAATGTCATTCTTTTCAGATAGATATATAGATTTTGGGGATCTCTCACAGTACTGTCTATCAATCTTTGATAGAATCTCTTTGTTCCTGATTTTCTCTGCAGGTGTCCTTGCTCTTTCTCACACAGAATTGCTACTATTTTCACCTCTCCATACTCTGTGATGTGTGTATCACTCTTATTTTTTTTAAGATAAATACTCATAGCTTTCTTTTAATAGGTCTCCATCTACTCCTACCAGAGAGAATGATCATTTTCATTTTCCAGCTCCAGTTACACCAGAGCAGAATCATCATGCAGAACAGGAGCAGGATCGTCTTCAGCATCTTCAGATGACCTCTCCCTCTAATTGTCATGGTCGATCACCATGTCCAGGTCCTGATCTTAATATTGAACTTCCATGCTTATATATACCACCCGAGACTCATATTTCATCTCAGTTAGATCGTCCATGTGAGCATCCCATGCCTGTAGTAGCACCCCTTCCTGTTTTTCCCATCAGAAGTAGGCATTGTAGACAATTACATGGTGGTACTCCTGAAGGACAATTACCTGTATTTGATAGTACTTCTGTTCCACAGCTCCCTTTAGGTCCACAGGGGCAGGGTCGTGATGGTGGACAAGGTCATGGACAAAGGAGAGCTATTGAAATTCATCCCTCACCATCACACACAAGAAGGTCATCACAATTACCTTCACCACAATGATTGCCTTCACTGCTACCACCACCACTATCACCACAACGGTCACCTTCACCACCACCACCATCACCACCACCACAGAACAATCAACCACCACATAATATTCTCATTCCTCTTCCTCTGGCCAGACGTCCATATATTGAGTTACAATCTCAGCATAATATTAGTAACATAAATTGGGTTTGTGGATATTGTGGGGCATTACATTGGCAAGATGAGCGAATTAAAAATAAGTCAAAGATTACACCATATTTTGGTATGTGCTGTTTACAAGGGCAGATCAAACTGCCTCATCTTCGTCCTGCTCCTCCCATTCTTCAAAATCTTCTCTGTGGTAACAATCCATTGTCTAAAACTTTCTTAAAAGATATTAGACAGTATAATGCAGCATTGGCATTTACATCTGTAGCTGTGAAAGTTGATCAAGCAATTACCAACTCTTCAGGACCATACTGTTTTCATGTATCTGGCGAACTTCATCATCGGATGGGATCTCTGCTGGCTAAGGAAGGAGAGGAAATGTCTTATGCACAGCTGTATATACATGATCCAGTGGAGGCATTGAGTATGCATAATCGTCGCAACCCTAACCTAAAGCCTGAAATCATGTCTCAACTGCAAGATTTACTGCATGATATAAATCCATATGTTGCTTTATATCGTCATGCATATCTCATTATGAAAGACAAGCCCCATGAAGAGTATCCAAATATTGAAGTACAATTGCATGTGGGTGATGGCACTGATGGACGACGATATAATCTTCCAACAGTAGATGAGTTGGCTGCTATTATTCCTGGAGATGGATCTGAGCCTGTTAAAAATGACTGAGATATTGTTTTACGCATGCATGACCAATCTCTTAAACGCATTAGCCAACTTCATCCAAGTTATCAACCTCTTCATTATGTTCTTCTTTTTCCACATGGAGAATTAGGTTGGAATTGGTATATACCAATGGAAGAGACTGAAACAAGCAACCATACAGAGCGTAAAATGGTTACTCAGCATATGTATTATGCTTACCACCTGCATGAATGCCCAGCAATTGAACCAAATGCACCATTATATAGAGGAGGACAACTGTTCCAACAGTATATTGTAGACGCATGGGCATCAATTGAACAAAGCAATCTTAACTGGGTTCAGAATAATCAGAAAACTATTCGTGCAGATTTGTATCAGGGGTTAGTGGATGCAGCAAATAATGAGAATCATGAGGATGGGTTGCGAAATGCTGGGCAGTGTATTGTTCTGCCATCATCACATACAGGTAGTCCCCGTGCAATGTTTCAGCTATATCAAGATTCTATGGCAATCTGTAGAGCTTTACAAAAGCCAGACATATTTCTTACAATGACAGCAAATCCACAATGGCCAGAAATTGTTGAGGCATTAAAACATACAGATGGTGAAGAGGCTCTGTGCGCGCCAAGCTAGAAATGCACTAGCGTATATAACACTAACACACCCACACTCCCACTCACACACACACAAACCCTCAGTAGTTCAGGGGTGATGTGCGATACAAGCACACAATAGCAGTAGTATTGAAAGAATCCTTGCACGTTACAATATAATATAGCACGCTTAGCAATATAATAATCTTCTAAGTCCAAATGCTTTTGGAACAGGAGGTGAGCGACAGAATCGCTCAGCCTCAAGGCAAAAGTATAATTTCGCAAGCCCCCAAATGTTCTACAAGAACGTATAACCCTCAAAATACGTCATGCGCAACACACAAGTGTCCACAACGTTTCACAATACACTTAACACGACTTAAAGCCTTGTGCTCCAAGCAGAAAACACTTCAAAACCCGTTCATAGATCCACAGGGTTCTAACCTATGCGATCCAGAGATACACAAACACAGAAAACACGTCCACAAGCCACAGGGTTTGAACCTATGCCACTCGGGAATAAACCAAAAAAAACCTCAGAGATTACTGACAAGCCAAAGGGTTTGAACCTCTGCCACTTGCAATAACTCAGAATTCACAAACAAGTTCCAAAAACACAAATGCACATTCAAGTTATCACAATACAATATTCTCTAAGTAGAGCGCAATCAATTACTGTACTTTACTCGAACAAATCAAGTGCGCTCGAGGAAGGCATGCCTTGCAAGCTCTCAAAGTGTTCAAAATAATTCTAAGTTCAATAATATTCTCTCGCTCGAAGCTTCAAATAAAATCCTTTCGTCGTACACTAAGCACGCTGCTTCATAGTACAACTGCAGGGGTCTGAGAAACTTGCTAACTACCTGTAACTACCGCTCTTATATTTACCATTAACTATATGAAATGTAAATACTGAAAATAGACAACACTCCACCTCGGACTCCCTTCTCTTGCATGCCGCATCAGCCGTAGTGATAGTAATCATTATTTTACTCAGCACTCCGTGTCGGTGCGCGTGCTACCGCTGTTTTCTCCACTTGGCAAGGCCTAGCCTCATCGTGCCATGTGGCATGTGTCTTCTTATTGGCTCCACGGATTTAATTACAGAGCCACGCAACTTATCTAGTGAGCGAGTTTTATTTTATTGGTTGCCATGCAACCATTTCTAGTTTAATATTTCATATGGGCAGCGGGTTTTATTTCTCTCCGGCCGAGAACTCCTTAGAGTATTCGGACTTGTTGATTCTTCATTCAGGATGATGTTTCTCGGTGATTGCCTGATCGGCAGGGTTCACGCATCATAGATCAATGTAGCGCGAAGCACCTTCAATATATTATCTTCAGTGAATTTAATTGAGTGATACACTGTAGAGGAGGGCACAGTGTGTGTGTATAAGCACTGAGACTGCACACTTAAATGACACAAGTGTGCCGCTCTAAGTCTAAGCCATGCGCTCTACTCATATTATTTTTATTATAGTGCTTTCTGCCTCAGTGTGTAGCGCTCTATGCCTTACATGCACTTTAATATTATTCACAGGGGACACACACGTTTGCATTCCTAGAATTCGCAAAATTACATGTGTGAACGCGTTGCACGCGTGTCAACGTGATGATACAACATGCAATATTTGTAAAGGGACCAATTTAGCTGAACTTCTTTGTTGAACCTCTCTTATCATTTGGGATGAAGTTCCTATGCAGAACCGACATGATATTGAGACTGTTGATCGTACTCTGCATGATATTCACAATATTGATTCTCCCTTTGGTGGAGTCACTGTATTATTTGGTGGTAAGTTCTTCTATATAAAATTTTTATAAATAATATGTTCTTATTTTCACTTTTAGGTGACTTTTGGCAAACATTGCCAGTTGTTCCATGAGGATCCAGAGAGCAGATTGTTGCAGCTTCATTTTGTCGTTCACCTTTATGGTCTCACATTCAAATTATCCACTTAAAGAAAAACATGCGTTTAGATCAAACTCCAGAAAATATTGAGTTTGCACACTGGCTGCTTACTGTTGGTGAAGGTGAAGGACTCACTGAAGATCATACTATCTCTCTGCCTGCTTCCATGAGACTTACAAACTCCACACTTTCTGAACTCATCAAATACATTTATCCAAACATTGAGACTGGCCAATTCTCTGATCACTTCTTTTTAGAATGAACAATTCTATCTGGACTTAATGATGATATTGATGAAATCAATCAACAGGTTTTGGATATTTTTCCAGGCCATGAGACAGTGTATTGGAGTTCTGATAAGATAATGGAGGATGAGTTGGATAATGCTGCTATGCTTTATCCAGCTGAATTTCTTCAAAACTTCAATGCATCTGGGTTACCACAAGCAAAGCTGGCTCTCAAAGTTGGATGTCCTCTTATGCTTCTTCACAACCTGGATCCAGCAAATGGCCTATGCAATGGGACACGGATGATTCTAACACATTTTCGCCCTCATGTATTAGAATGCCACCTTCTCGATGGTAATCATGCAGGAAAGACTGTCTTTATTCCACGTATTACAATCAATGCAGATGCAGCTGAACTCCCAATTGCATTTTCATGTCATCAATTTCCAGTCAAACTGGCTTTTGCAATGACAATCAACAAGTCTCAAGGCCAGTCAGTTACCTATGTTGGATTAGATTTACGTACTCCAGTTTTCTCTCATGGGCAGCTTTATGTCGCACTTAGTCATTGCACTTCTGGGCAGCGGATTTGAGTTCTCTTTTCAGATAAAGAAAAAAATACAAATACCTTGAATATTGTATATCCTGAGGCTTTATTACATTGATAATATATTTTTTCTTTGAACTAATGTCTGAAAACTTAATAAGTAAAAAGCCGGGTTTGGGGCAGGCCCCAATGAGCCAAAGACCCGTGTCGTAGTCAGGTTGCTGGGTCTCGAGGTACAAGGGCCCCAGTAATTGTGACGAAGACATGGGTTGTAGGCTCGTCAATTCAAAAGCAATGTTGTACTAGCTATACCCCTCAATGAGGGAAAGTTTCGAGTAGAGGCAGACACGAGTGAGGGAGCGATTGGAGCAGTATTGTCCCAAGAACAAGAGGGGAAGTGGAGGCCAGTAGCATTCCTATCTAAATCCCTGTCCAACACTGAGCGGAACTATGAGATTTACGACAAAGAGCTGCTGGCAATAATGATAGCCCTAGAGGACTGGCACCATTACTTGATGGGAGCATGTGAAGATTTTGAGATCTGGACAGATCACTCAAATCTTCAGTATTTCCGCAAGCCACAGAAACTCAATTGTAGACAAGCGTGATGGGTAACAGAGCTAGCAGAATACCAGTTCACGCTTCACCACAAGCCAGGAGCCCAGAACCGGAAAGCCGATCTGTTGAGTAGAAGAGAGGATCATGGACGAGGGAAGGAGGATAACTGAGACATTGTAGTGCTGAAACTGGAGCATTTCCGAGCCCTGGTTATGCCTACCGAGGAAGAAGTACATGCCAAACTATGGCAGTTTACAAAAAACCCCAGTAATTGGGATCAAGGAATTGCCAACTCCCTAAATCACAAAAAAGGAGTCAGCAAAAAGGATGACCTCTTACATTATGATGGTCACATCTACATTCCGAAGAACCGAGAACTACAGGGAGAGATTATCACTACCAGGCATGATCACGAAACTGCTGGACACCCAGGAATCGAGAAGACGAAGGAGTTAATTCTCCATGATTACTGGTGGCCAAAGATGAGAAGAGATGTGGAGAAGTATGTAAAGGGGTGTGAGACATGTCAACACACAAAAACCAACACACAGCAAAAGAAGGCCCCATTACACCCCAATGAAGTCCCAAAGATGACCTGGGATCACATCACTGTTGACATGATTACTGGACTACCCGATTCCCAAGGATATGATGCAATTCTAGTAATTGTGGACAGGTTATCCAAGGCAATTATCCTGGTACCATGTACAAAGGAGTTATCCTCCCTAGGATGGGTGAAAATTCTATGTGACAAGGTGTATGTGTGATACAGGGTAATTCCCTCAAAGATCATTTCTGACAGAGGGACTGTCTTCATGTCCAAATTCATCTGGGAGTTCTACTCCATCATCAACATCAAGGGAAACCCTTCAACCACGTATCATCCCCAGACCGATGGCCAAACCGAACGAGCAAACCAGGAAATCAACAAGTATCTGCGAATGTTCATAAATTATCAGCAAGATGATTGGGTGGAATGGCTGCTGCTCAGTGTTCACACACAACAATAGGAAACATTCTGCCATGGGATACTCACCCTATAAGGTGAACTTTGGATGGGATGGACAAACCCTGGTAACAAAGGAGGTCAAGGGAGAAGTACCTGCAGTGGAGAAGTTCATGAACGACATGAAGAGGACACAAGGACAAGCTGCAAAGGCATTGGAAAAGGCAGCAGAAAGCATGAAGAAGGCATACGATAAGCATAAAGGAAATGCCAAATTGTATAAAGTAGGTGACAAGGTTTGGTTGGATACCACAAATCTCCATCTTCCTAAACCCAAGAAAAAGCTACATGACAAATGAGTAGGGCCCTTTGAGATTGTATCAAAACAAGGAGTCTCCGCTTATGAGCTCAAGCTACTGGTCAACTGGAAAATACATAATCATTTTAATGAGGCACTCCTAATGCCATATCACCCTCCCGAATTCCCAAACCAGCCAAAACTGAGTCGACCACCACCAGAACTTATAGACGATGAGGAGGAATACGAAATCGAAGAAATTGTAGGAGAAAGAGACCGAGCAGTAGGAAGAGGAAGGACTTGATGAACCATCACCGACTACCGAATCAAGTGGAAAGGATATCCTGCTGAGGAAAACTCATGGGTCACCTGTGCCCACCTTGCTAATGCTGAGAAGTTGGTCAAAGAGTACAAAGCATGCATTCAAAAAATAGAGTGGACCAAACAAAAGGATGGAGTGATGGTAGGGAAGGATGATAAAATCCTGAATCTGTACGACATTCCCGACAGCTCCCAAGAGTGGCTGGAGGACATCAAGACCCCATATGATTCGGAACAGGAAACCTTAAATCCACCACCCTATGTTATCCATTTGGTATATTCAGAACATCTGGCACCGGTTGCAAATGCATGTGCCTCCGATGCCAACAGCAATTTTGGGCACCAATCCATCACATCCTCCTTGCTTAAAAGGGTACAAGATACAGCTGCCCAAATGGATTGCGAGACCAAAGAAGGCAATGCTCGATACTTATGGGAAAACAACCTGAAGGAGGATAAAATGTGGAAGCATATGCCATACAAACCAGACCCAAAATTTGATAATGACAAAGTCTGCCAGTAAATTCACCGACTTTGTTACAACAAAAAACATCATAGACGTTCGCGCTGTTGCAACGCGTTACAACAATGTATTTTTTGTGATTACCGTCTAATATCAACCCTTAGTGTCCAGAATCTGTAAATTTCATGGTAGCTGTGGTGCAAGCCACTTTGCAAATTTTCCAGTACCTACCGTGGACCCTACACTTTGTACATTCCCGTAGAAACAGACTTTGTAAAGTCTGCGGAACCATTGATGGACTTGTCAGCATGTGTGTGTTTATTTGCCCTTCCCCGCCGTGCTTTCTGATCATCGTGTATGACAGCGATGACAGTGGTGAAGTTTCCCCCAACGCCTACCTGTTACAGACCGAGAGATTCAAGATCTATAAATATTGATGGAATCTGAGATTCAACATACAGGAACAACTCAAACGGTCTGGCCTGGCTGCAGAAACAAACTTAGTTTGCTTACTCCCGTCGGCAAGCGGTAATACCCGCTACTTGTCTCAGGTCTGTCAGCCGACTAGTCAGCCGGAAAATTCCGCAGTAGGAACTCACTTATACATCAATGAATTTTTATCAGAGTTCAATGAGGATTTTTGGAGGCCACTTTGACGCGTAGTGAGTAGAGTACAGTATTCATAACATAGCTACATATGCTAAATAAGGACAAATGATGTAAGCATCAAAAAAATCACGCATCACACCAACGCCCTCTTCCTCAACTTCATACACCACAGATGGCCTCATCTCAACATCTCCACGAAAAACTGTCAAGTAAGTCTTTTTTTATCAGCTTCAGGATGTATTGGCTTACCGGGACTCAATAGGAAGCTTATGTCGAAGTCATTCAAAGCAAAAATCAAAAGAGGTTGGATGTACGTTGTCTGGGCACGACAGGTGCAAATGGAGACTGATGACGGAGCATAGGGGTATCATTAAGACGATGAAAAAGGTGTACTACAAGTTCAGATATGAAAGAAGTGCATGTACACCCCTGCTCTCTCGGAAGCGTACTGATTTGCATTAGATCTAACACGAGAATGGGATTCGCGTACACCTTATCAAAGGTTTCACCAAGATCGAGGCAAGGCTATGTATCGAGATGTCAAGGAGTAGGAGGAGGGCTCGACTCCTCACCTTGTAGCGCGATGAGCTCCATTTGGGGGGGGGGAACCTTGCCTGAAATACGTCAGTCTGTCATGTCTGTAAACTCTGTAAACCGAGACAATGTACGAATTTTTTGGTGATTTTTTCCGATTTTTATGAATTTTTTGCGGGCGAAACAATCGTTTTGCAACGTGTCACGACGCTAAGCAAGCGTGGTGGGCGCTAAAGTCCCAAAAGGAATGTGACGGCGGGCACTGCCACCATCAGCTGCCGACTACCATATCAGGTTCAGTCGGGAATTGTGGGGAAAAAAAAAGAGCTCACCATCTACCGGGCCGTGCCAAGATGCCGAGGCATTCCAGGAAAATCCGAAAATTCCATAAAAATCATAATGGATGATCTGGGTGGAACAAAAGAACTAACCGGGTGAGGTACATCGTCTGAAGGCTGCATTTTCGTGCAGCTTGACCAGTCTTGTACTGCACCATCAGGAGCACTTCGTATTATGACACAATGTATCTCTGGAGGCAATTTAATGGCAGCAAACAACACTGCAGAAAAACAACCTTATCATTGGTGAAAGTTGTTAGGCACTTTGAAGTCCGGGTTGCTGATATTAAGACCTTCAATGGGCAGATGACCTCATAGGGGGCAGGCCGGTTGACGAATCGTTCATTCCAGTCATCAGGTGTTGGAGTAACTGAGATGGTGATGTCAGCAGGTGGTGGAGCTCGGCATATGACGGCAAGTGTGTATTCAAAGTCCATCGGTAAATGCTGGGAACAAGGCTGGAGTTACGAAACGTAGCAGGGGTACTAGAGCTTTCTCAAGCGTTAACGTCTTGGAATGGGGAGAGTGGGCGAATATTCAATATATCGTAGAGAGGAGTATCACAGACAGCAAGATATTTACTGTAACAGGAATGAGAAATTAGGGGAGGAGCAGTGGTGACAATGCTTACCATTACAGATGGGAACTTGAAGTGTGAGGGCAGGTTGTGTTATGCCTCACAAGCAAGGTATTGTGTTACACCAGGGGAAGTAGTCAAAAGTCAAGGAGATAGTGAACTCTGTTTGTGGACAAGAGTTAGTGTGTTGTTGTGGGAAAGTACGGGGGCCTTACCATGGTATGGGTGTGAGGTATAGCTGCTCACTTTGCTTGGGATACTATCCAATATCACGAAGCGGGTAAGCATTGATGCATGAGTAGAAAAATGGTGGTGGAGGACATCATGGGTCGGAGTAGATGAATGCGTGGCATCCGCAATGAGGATGTTTGTGACTGTGACTGTTACAGGCATGAAGGTTCTTGTTACATCAATTTACTATGCAGTGCTAAAATTAGCTCAATCGATGAAATGGTATTGCCTCGTCCGAGGTTCGATCCTCGATACAAGTAGTTTTGCCAAATTTACTGATTATCACTGACGTTGAACAGTGAACCTAGACTCTCGTTTCATGCAAACCTAGAGTTCCGCAAGTATCTAATAAGGCGGCTCTAAGATTCGGAAAATTTCCCCGATATCAGTTTTCCAATTTTCTGTTTCAACCAAAGGTATACCGCATGTAAATTGCCTACTAAAGATGTGTATGTACAGTCATAAATACCAAGAATATTGCTAGCTCTTCATTTACACCAGTAACAAAACAGTTGGAAGCACACCTTATCGAATACGACGCTTTTCAGGTCCGGTAGCATTGAGGAGGGTGTCAAATGTATCATTGACGTCTGTTACCAAGGCAGACCATTGCGATGAATCATCCAGATTCTTTCTCCACCAGAAAAGACCAAATATCACTGTGACAATCCCATTCTGGCCTCCTTTGTGCAGACACGTAAATGTTTCATCGTACTTGCATTGCGGCAGCCCCTCTGCACTCTGCCTCCAGTTTGGTTGAATCGAATTCCACCACGTTACCATAGCATCACCAAATTGATCGACATCGTTAATAGAGAGAAGATTGCTAAACGAGCGAACACCGTCCAACCATACAGCCAAAACACTTGGCCATTTTTTAGGCGCCTGTAATTTTCCCTTTGATAAAATGAATGAGATAGAGGTATATTTAGCGACTCGAATAATGCACTGAAGACTTCTCTTTACTCAGGATGGTCTCCAAGGCATTCCACTTATCCAGCAAGTTCGCCCAATCGTCGCTGAATGTGGGATCCTACATTGAAGCAAGACTTTGAAGTTGCCAAACAGGGGTGCTCTGTTTGCTACCAACGAGAGTTTTCACTTCTCTAGGGCCAGGTGGTTTACGGTTTTGGGCCCGCCGGGGGATCACAGGTGCTGATGCTTGTTCGGCTGATCTATTCGAAAGGCTGCGAGGATGGACTTCAGCTGATGTTCGATTGTTTTTCGTTGCAAGGTCCGACATCGTCTCGACCTCTGACATTACCACATCCTTGGATGGCATGATGGCGGAGGGAAAGGAGGATGGCGCAATGGAGGATGACGAAGTAGATGCCATAGAAGACATACTAGATTCGGCGGAGGGAAAGGAGGGTTGCGCAACGGATGAAAGAGATAATGACAAAGCAAATGCCATGGAAGACATGCTAGATTCGGTTTGGGATGAATTGTAGTTCGAATATGTGGGATTGGGCAAGGAAAGGTCAGGTGAAGTATGGTCATAATTGTCCCAGGAGAAGGAATCTGACCAAACGTCATTGCTACTCGATGGTGCCAGTATATTAGGTTGAAACTCATTAGTAATGGGGAACGAGTTGTCTTGTAGAAGCTGAAGAAGGGCATAATCGTCATATACCGGGCTTCCTTGAGGGGATTGAAAGAACAGGGTGCCGTTTTGGGATACTGAGTTATTTTGAGAGGATTGATAGTACGTGGAATTTGCGTTAGGCATAGATAATTGGCCGCTACTCCAAGCGGCAAGGAGCGAGTCTACGTCCATCTCAGAACCTGATGGAACGGGAAAGTCTGGGGTTTGATTCGACGAGAGAAGGGGAAGGGGCTCATCCGCAGATGACGTTCCCTGAGGAGGCTCATTAGGAAGGGGCTCGTCAGGCAAGGGCCCATCCACGGTGTCCGAAGATGATGTTTCCTGAGGGGGCTCGCCAGGAAGGGGCTCGTCAGGCAGGAGATTGTTCACAGGAGGCAAGTTTGAATTGTTATTGCCTGGTGCCACTTTTGGAACATCACGTGCTACAGGATCAACATCCATGGATGATGATGATGCAACGGGTTCCTGAGGCTTCTGTTGCTGTGCTTTCACTCCTGTATACACCCACAATCAGAACTCGGAAACAGTGGAATCAAGTAAAGTACGACGTACGTTCCGTATTTCGCATATGAGCGAGCAGAGGGCTGCCGTAGTATGCGTCAGATTGGTGTTTGTCCCCCACCAAACCTCCCGGTGATGAGCCTCAAGGCTCTGTACGCTCAGAATTCGCGGATTTTAAGCATTATAATAAATGCCTTGTCCACTTAGTGGACTTTCACTAAGTCAACGATTGCAATCACGGCAATACCCACTTTTACCGCCAACTATCCTTCCCAGCTCGTATTCCGCATCAATATGCGCCACTTCATTAATGCCGCCAGGCACCTGATTGCAGATCTCACGGAATTAGGACCATCATTGATCGCTCAGCACAGCCATCGCTGACATCAGCATCAAGCGTCACTTAATAGAATGCCGCAGCCAAACTACCGATTCCACGGCAAAAGACTTAATACCGTGACCTTTTCACCAGCTTTACTAAGGCTGTTACAATGCCAAGATAATGCCGCACGCATCTACTTCAGTGTACTACCTTCAGTGTACTTTGCCGCAGCAACACAGCAGCCCAAGAGTCCGTATGTCGGGGGAATTCTTTCTGATCACTAAGACTATACGCGGTAAAACCGTGTGGGTGCTGTTACTTTAGAACTCTGGGAGCACGCGTTTTGTATCATTTCTTACCAATTGATGTACTAAGGACTTACTAAGGACTCGTTTCAAGTATTCTAAAATTATTCCGGACTTGTAGTATAAAAGCTAGTGTAGTAGTAGTTGCTAGACACAAGTTACTGGACACTAGCCATCATCCACATTATCGACCACCGTTATCGCTTGTACTCGCTAGGAGATAGACAATAACAACATAGTCACTCCAAGTTATACTCTCTGTCACGGCTTTTCTTCTAACTGGTATTGGTGTACGCTCATATTGCGCCAATACACGGAATTTGGTGTCCACAACTCGCTTTTATCTTTTAATCCGCCAGCATCAGTTTCACTTTCACCAGCCAGGATCGTTTTCATCAGTTTTCACCTTCTACGTCGCCATCGTTTTACCCAGTTCAGTTCAGGATCGTTACGTCCCCGTGTGGACTCAGATTAGGATCGTTATTGCCGCCAGCAGCATCTGTCACGGAATTTCAGTCAACAGCTTCAGTATAGGATCATCAGTCACGGTATTTGGTATCTTGCCGTCAGTTTCAGTATAGGATAGTCTCCGTGTAGACTCAGGATTAGTATCAGTTTCGTTTTGCCATCGTTAACCTCAGTATAGTTTCAGTCTCAGTCCAGCCCAGTCCCAGCCATCATTTTGCCGTCACTAGTTCCCCCTCATATCATCGCCAGTCGTCTTATCTTCGTTTTACCGCCAGTTTCTCGTTTCTCGACTACAGTCTTCGTCTCTTGCCATCACGGTATTTGTTATCTTGCCAACGGTATTGCTCTTTGACAGCATTTTCTCTAATTCCATCAACATCGCCCACGGCTTTTACTAGTTAAATTGCCGTCACTTCGTTCACGGTTTGCCGGTATTCCCAGTTATACCAGATTCCGTTCCTTCTCGTCTATCGAGACCCTTCCCGGCTTACAGCCAATGTTTTCTAGTACTCGATCGTTAAGGGTACTACTTCGCTGACTGAAAAGTCGCAGTGTATACTTGCATTCTTGAGGAATTCATCGCACGGAGGTGCACTGAAACACTCGCACAACAACAAAGCCTTTATTGCCGCTACGCGCCATTTGCCGTGAACTCCTCTAGAGTTTTGGTTTTTGCCGTTGCCACGGAAGTTTAGGCTCATCACCGGTACCAGACCTACGGCTGCGTCTCTGTCGAAATTGTCAAAGAACGTTTCACCAGATGCAAGATCCGTCCCATACTCCCAGCTGTGCTATAATCAGGCCTGTATCTTGTCAACTATGCTGTGGACTACCGGGGTCAATTCCAGCACCAACGATGACGAATCCCCAACCCGTTATGGCCTGAAACAGTTTGAACATCTTCTTAAATTTCCCTCCCAATGATTCGATCGCCCTATACCGCAGTAAGAATCATATCGTCAACATGAATACAATAACTTACTGTTTTTTCTGCCCAGGAGGAAAATTAATCTTGTCATAGTGATGAGCTTTCACTGCCTCAACCAGCTTCCTCTGCTCCGACTGTATGCTCATGGTCTCAGCCCTGACCTCTGGTGCCTCCTTCTTCCACTCCACATTTGTCATCTGAGAGATAACGGCAATATTATTGGGAGACTCTCCAGTCCTTGCCACTTCAGCTATGACTTTTTCACGGAGACACCGTTCAGCGTAGAGCTTACACGAGTAAATGTGCATCGCCTGGGGAGGGCGTGTCTTCTCAACATCCGTTTTCAGTATAGCTTTGAGGCCCCTGCTGCTAGTCAGTCCCTTTTTGTTATTGGGAAACCATTGTCTCAGTCGCTAATATATGGTGCTTAGAACACAATGGAATGGAGACTGTTGGAAACTCACAACGCACAGTTTCTCTAGTACCTGACCGAATGTATCCCTCTGCTCCTGCGTAAGAAGGACCAGCTCACATCCGTTGAGAGCTAAATCTGGGCCAAGATTGAGAAACCCTTTATCCATTCTTGGAAAAGGCGTGCCATCGGGAGAATCCATGATGCCGATAAGGTGAAGAGCTAACTTTCTGGCACGTCCAGTATAGTCTATAAACATTAATTCCCATACTGGCGGCCAGCGGTGCATAAAGAGGTTCGCCATCATTCCAAGGAACTTATGCGCCTCTCCCTGGCCTGCCTCTGAAGCTAACATATGAGCCAGTTGACGGCGCCAGAGATATTGGGTCATAGGCCAAGAAGTCCACCTACTAGTTAGGTTTTTCTCATTGGGGCCCGGTTCCTCGTCGTCCCAAGCTCCATGCCCCACATTGTTTAACCATACTGGTTTACGGAAAGAAAATTCTTTCCCTACAACGAAGGATCTTCAGCTCTCATTCTCAAACGAAGGCAATATTCACGTACCACCGCCATAGTACAAGTCGTCAGGAAGATCGTGATTGGCTTTCACAGTCCATTTTGGTATTTCAGGGACAGAAACTCGGGCGTATCGTACGCCTTTCGGCTTGGAGTTCTTCGGTTCTTTTGCCATCATATGGAATCTGTATTGTTAAACATCAGTTTTGTTTCCAGAGTTATCGCTTTCACATATGGTGAGTCGGTTTTTGTATGATGTGAACTTGTATGACGGTGGGAATAGGTTTCGAAATGAAAAAAATACAGGCACATAATTTTATTTTGCGTAATCAGTGCGAACATCGGGTACATGGCGACGTACAAAGTGTCAACAACACGGCAATGTACAAATTGTCAAAAATGCGAGAATGTACAAAGTCGCGTACGAGCTGTCAATGAGAATTTACAAAGTGGCTCTCTCAACTTTGTAAAGTTCCCTACCCTTGGTCATATAAAAGCTCTCCAACTAACCCAATGTTAACCATCCAGTTCTTTTCCTTCAAATTACCCACCAACACCTAACAAAACAATGACCCAATTCTCTCTTGAACAACTCGCAGCAGCTCTCTCGGCACTCAGCATCTCTGTTCCGATTATGGATGGTAAGTTCATCTAGTCCTACATCGGTTCCATTGCTAACTTTCTGTACAGCTGCCATCGAGCCCGCTTCGCATGCTCGTGCTTCAGCAGATATGGCGGCAGGCCCACTGCTCACCGTCCACTGCAGCAATTGCGCCTTCCCAAACATCGTCCCTGTTTCAGCAGTCCCGACAATGGTTGGCATCCCGTTTCCAAGCTCGAGGTCTGGAGGCCACCCAGTCCTGCCTGCTTCCGACCGAGTGCCCAGTGCCCCTACCATGACCGCACCTCAACCCTACATTCACACTCATGCTGCAGCTCCTGCATCAGCAGCTCATTCGTCTCATGCTGCTGCTCCCGTCACCCAGGCTTCCGTCATCCAGGCTCCCGTCACTCCCATCGCTCCTGCTGCTCCTGCTCCCGTTCCACCTCAGTCAGCGTTCATAGCTGTCACGGTGGGTCCTGATGGGCCGTGGTACGTCGTTTTGAAAGGCCGTTCCATTGGTGTTTACCGCGGGTGGTACGTTGCTTCTTCCTTAACATTGAACCTCTATTGACCTTCTTGCAGGCAAAATGTAAGTAACTTAGTCACCGGTGTCGGGTGGGCATGCTTCTTTCATTGTGGAACTCGTGCCGCAGCCCAGGCTGCATTTGATGAGGCACTTGCTGCCAGTGCCGTGGAAATTCTTTGATTCCAAGTCGCCGTTCATTCTCGATATTTCTTGGTCTTTTACTGTTGTGTTTCTCATGTCAATCATCATCGGGAGTAGTGCCTATTTCCTTATATACCACTGATTCATACATACAATAGTGTCCACTCATTTACTTATCTCTTTTCAATCCCATCGATCCACACACTCATTAAAGATCTGCTCATTTACTGTTCTATTTATTGTCATCTGTACATGCTTGCTATGAATATGATAGCAGTTGGCCAAAAAACACCGTGTAATCACCAATTTTGATGCATGTCTATCAGTCTGGAAGGGATAATGTATCTAACTTTTTTTTATTTGCAGTGGCTTTATGAGATACCTGCGGAACTTGTTACACTTTGTGGTCTTCAGTCGATGTTCGGCATGTTACCGGAGTTTAAAAAATGGTGCCTGCGACACGGCCTCAGCTTAGTGAGACACGAAGTTGCCTGAGTTCCCCTTCAGTGCTGAGAAGTTCTGTTCAAAAATTCCTGCCCCTTCGTTTAAAAGCTGATGTCACTGTTTATAGCCCATAGAAGGCTTATCTCTCCATTAAGTGTTTCTTTCTCTCTATCCCGCTTTCTCCTCCTTAGATAATGTCCTGGCGCAATGTTCCTACTCGTTTACTTTTCTATGCAGCAAAGACAGTAATGATGACGCCCGGCAGCACACATTCATACCAGCCTTGTCGGTAATGGCAGGATCGCCAAAGCAGCTATCATCGGCCGACAGGGATGCATCTGGGCTGCGTCGGTGGGATACAATGTGAATTAACTCTCGTGACACATGTCTTGATCTTGTGCTCATCGCGTCATTCCCTGCAGCTCTTGACAGAGGACCAGAACACTATCACCAAAGATTTCACAGACCTTACGAGCATCCAAGGATCGGGTGTCTGTTATTGAGCGAAAGTTCTTACCCTCCAGGTGAATGAACGTAATATATGGGAAGAAGGCGATGCGTGGACCTTGCTCCTTCAATGCGTCAGGATGCTGATTGTCTTGGATCTTTCTCCTAGCTAGGCTGCGTGTATCACCCGAAAATACGGTTGTGTACGTACCAATGCCGCACGCATTAACTACGCGATATCTGGTCTTGTGAGTCATGAATATGCTACTCTGTACATTCTCGTGCTGGCAAGCTTCTTTTATGTCACTTTGCACATGCTGACTTTGTAAAGTCTCGTACCGTACAGGTACCAATTCCATCTGCTGCATCTTGGGGGTCGATGGTATGAGGAGCTATTCTACCACGTATGCTATAGTCACTGGAAAATATTTCGAAAATACGAATTGTTATAGAAGTCGGCACTGGTCCTTTCTCCCATCGCTAGGCGCATACAGCAACTAAGGCTTTCTATCTATCAGACCCATCATATGCCCTGTGTCATACGCCGTTGCCGCCGCCTCAGCAACCCTGGCCCTCCACTGCAGAATGCGACCAGTGGTAGCATGCTGAATACCGTCGCTCTGAGGATCTTCCCTCTCGCTATGAACCGAACTGTTCGTCTCTAAGACATCTGTGGGGCAAGAGGTATTGGAGCCATGTTTGGTGTCCCGGTGGTCAGTGCTATAGTAAGCAGTAAGCTTGGCAATCCTCCCTCCACGCACATCCATCCACTGTTCTAATACCTGCCTTCACCATTAGCCTCTCTAAACAACCTGGGCTGGAAGATACGTACCTCTCGCAACAAGCGAACGCTCTCTTCGTAGCGAGCCTGCGAAGTAAAGCGTCGATCCAGCACGGTGCATGGATATTCTTCGGTGTAGATTTCTATGAACCCTTGCCACCACAGCTCGGAATGGCCATCATGTATTGAATCGAAATAAGTCAGACGGTATCGCTCGAGCAGCCGTTGTTTGGGAAGGTCAAGGTGCGTACGATGATACTACAATCGATGAGCAGGTTCTCATGTTATAGATGAAGAAACCCACCGCCGTGCCATGGTCTATTAGGTCATGCATTGACTCTACCATACAACTCAGTAGAGATATCGGAAAAGCGAGAAGTGGTTCACACCAAATAGAAGGCAAAAGGTAGTGAGAAGGTGTATTTTACCAGGAATGCAGGCCCTTATATATGCGATGTCCATGGGAAATTTTTCAACTGGGATGACAGGAGAGAAGGCGAAGTTCCAGAGAGACAACTAGCAATAATGAATTTACTACCATGAAAATACTGACATAGGCCGTAGATAATGAAAATGTTCTCTAGAACGAACAAGTGGTCGACAATTCCCAGTCGCTCTTATGCCATAACACTCATTTGAATACCGTGGGGGAGAGTGCTAGTATAGATGCACCAAAGGTATACTTTACAAACATATATTTCAGTAGAAGGACTGAACCTTCTTTAATACATTCATGATATCTTGAAGGTCATTTAGAACTGAGAGGAAGAGATACAAGGTCAGTATATGATATGGTAAGACTATCAGACGAAAGAGTGAAAGTGGTAAGAATGCGTTATAGAATACTGTCACCGACACCCACTTTCTCTCATTGCATGGCACCACCCAAAAAATATCACACAACTGAATCAAAGCATCATTCAGTGTGCGAGAAAAGCAAATGCTACTATGAAAGGTATGTATTGACACTTCTGTCGTGAAAACTCAACTAAATGCGATACAATTATGCAGAAACAGGCACCAAATCCGACTCCAGCGCAAAGCTGCCTACGACGCCAGAGCTTCGCAAGACCCAGTACCCCAGTGTTCACTCTCACCTTCTGGCAGCTCTAGCAAAGAGCTTGCCGTCGTGAATGTCAAGCGCATTACTAGAGTCGGAAAGACTAATGCACTTGAAATTCAAACAAGGTAGGGAACGCCGTATTGACGAAGTCCTTGGGAAATACATTAATGGTGCACATGCAGGAGAAAATACCTAACATACCAAGTTAGAACCTTGCCTTTGTCTAACAATGCCGCCCCCGTACCACCTATACCGCCCACCGACATATTCCCCAAACTGAGCGCAGAGGCAAGAGCCCTTCAAGACAAATTTAATTCCTTCATTCAGGGCACATCTATTGGTCAATATGCGGAGTCACTCTTGAGAGCTTACTTCAAGTCGAACTCAAAATGCCAAGGACAAATCAGCATCTTTGTGGACCCATTGCAAGACCTGTATGAGCTCCAGGACGCTTATACGACAATTCAAGATCAATCTCTTGAAGTCGAAGGTTTGAGCGTGAGGCATAATTCACTGGTACAAGCAGGTGGTCCTATCAACAAGGTCATCAAGTGGGTGGAAGATTTTTGGCATTGCACGATTGATGGTCCAGGGAGCTTACTGTGTACATACAACGTGAAGCGGCTGGCGTGGCAAAGGGATACTATTAGTTAACTATCATCACTACAAAAGGATATTTCTTTGTTAGTGTACTTCGCTTGCAAATCCTCCAAACTGTTCATCGCCTCGCATAACAAGTCTTCGAGCCAAAATATCAACTGATGAATGGGTCTCAACACGCTCTGCACCCGCTCCATATCTTTTCCTACCCCTGCACTATTCAGAACAATATGCTCATACTCATATCCCAACTTCTTGAAGTGGGAAAGTCGAGTGAGAGCATTCTCGATCACACGTCAGCATCCCCTGAGTCGTGTAGGTCCGATGGTATCAATGTACGCATGGTAGATCTTGTCAACAAAGCGGCGTGGTTCGTTTCCTGTTAGCATGTTGAATCGCTGCTGTAGTCGTTCTAGTTGGTCGAGTGCTTCTGCTAGATTTGAGCTGCGTCTGAAGCCAAAATCTGTTAATAAGCTCTAGTAAGAGCACGTTCAAGAGACATACTGTATGTGCGTTTCTCCCAAGTTAACCTCAATATCAATATGTTGTGCCGCCCGCCGAATCAAAGGTTCCAAACAGCTGGAAGCGTACGGATAAGAACCAGACCAAAAGAGTTATTATCTCACATACCTTGGTACCTGATTTTTAGGCTTTTCAGCAGCTTGGTATGTCTCGCGTCGATGCTGATTGATGACATGACGATGCCTGGAAAGAGGGCTTCAATTTACAGCTCAGAGCTCATATAATTATGTTTCTTACTTCTGATAACTTCGTCGACTACTAGCATTGTGAGCTGCTCAGTGTTCCTGTTCCATTTGAAAGATGCGTCATGAAACCATGGCAATAACTGGAATGAGGGGGGGTTGAAACGAGGTGCGAATGCCAAGTGACAGCTGGCACGAGGGACTACTTTGGAGTAGGGGATACTTGAGGCCGCAGGATTTGCGCGCTGTCATAAAAAAAAGGATCAGCCTTACGAGACTGTACAGAGTCAACTGAGGAATTTGTACTTTGTCGTAGAAGGAAGGGAGCACCGCTACGGGACTGTACAAAGTCAGTCCAAAAGACTTTGTACTGTGTCGTGGAAGGAAGGAGCTGCGTTACGGGACTGTACAAAGTCAGCTCGAAAAAATTGTACTGTGTCGTAAAAGGCAACAGATAACTGACAGCTGTAGCCTGTCATGTAATTTGGGCTCGTTTCGCTTTGCAAAATTTCGGACTGTATACAGTCTAATCAAGACTTTGTACTTTGTTGCAAGTCAACAAATCCTTATAAGCTCAAGAGAAGAAATGAAAACGCCATCGCTCACAGGATATCGTTATCGGCAGAACAGGTGGGTACCTTCGGCTATAAGATGGTGAGGTCTCTTATGTCGATATTAGATATGCAGCATATGCTTCGCTCTCAGGAGAAAAGGGAATTTTTGAGACCTTTTTTGCCAGAATATCGCAGGGTGAAAGCTCTTGCGAAGGAGAATCTGAGACTCTTCGCACAGTTTCAGACTCATATATGGGTACTTTGGATAAACCGTTGGTACCCGGAACTGTGGGCTCCTGACCCGAATGACGCTGCGGGGGTTTGCCACTGGAACCGCTGTCGCCAAAGAGTAAGTTCTTCTGTCATGGCGCAAATCAATAGACTCACCATATTCACCATAGGATCTTCTCAAGATTGTTCAGACGCTGGCGTTGTGGGATCCCTTCTATGCTGAGGGTCGCAGAAAGCAAGCAGGACAAGCACTTCTCTCCTTACGTGTAGATCGTGTAGATAATGCAGCCTCCAAGACACAGGTATCCGGTATGAGACGAAGTGATCGAGTACCGAAGCCAAAGAGGCGTCCTGATGCTAGTTAGCTCACACAGTGTCGTGTTATTTACCAAAGCCTTTGATTGTCCAAAACGAGCCTTGTCTCAACTACGAAGTGTTTTGTATATACTGTCACTCGTGGAGCACTTGCGGCTCCAAAGGATCACTATTTCACATGTTTCGTCCAAATAACAACGCCTCTCTTTTTCGTAACCTCTGTTAGGATGGCGAAGTAATATTTAACCCAAATGATGTGACATTGGCACCCATCTCCCTCTCTCCCTCTCACGGAATATGTGGAACTACAATCCCAAGAAACACGGAAAGCACACCCCTGCGCGAAGCTTGGTTGTCAGTGATGGCACTGAGCGTCAGCCCCCTGCTCCTGCTGTTGAGCATTATCAACACACTCATTTCAGCACAAAGATGAAGGAAGGACAGGACGGTGTACGAGTTCGCTCCAGTATGCGTCATAGAACTTTGACGCTTCCTGCTCTTGAATCTCAGCACCCTGTAATGGACAAGGACCTGTACCCATCTATCGCAGAGCTGTCTTCAGGATCGTTTTTGGATCCCGATTACGCTCCATCTGCCAAGGTTCAGGGTGGTGAAGAGGAAGAGACTGGGAGTGCCACTCGCGCTTCTAGGCCGCTTGGTGTAGGTCTAATATCTACCATAGCGTCTCGAAGTCTAACTAATGTTACTCACCAGGATCATCCACTCCTCGTCTGGTCTCAGCTACGCTCAGAGTTCCTCGACGAGATTTTGAAACTCGACGCATTTGAAACGGAGGACAAGGATGCATGCGAGGCTTGCCAGACTGACTTAGGCCTATTTCGCTGTCTCTCCTGTGTGGATACTTGGCGCCTTTGTCACACTTGCATTGTCGCTGGGCACCAAGGCTTGCCCCTGCATAAAATCGAGGTGCGTCAATAAGGATCAATGTATCTAATGATTTTGATGAGATGTGGATAGGAGTGGTGCTCTTCATTCTTCTGCAGAACGATGCTTGCCCAACTCGGGCTTAAGTTTGAACTGGGCCATAAACACGGGACATCATGTCTCTTTCCTGCAATCATTCCAGATTTTATTGTCATTGACATAGATGGCATCCACATGGTTAACATGGCGTTTTGCAACTGTACCCAAGGAATCTTACACCATACTCAGTTACTTCGTCGATGACTGTTTCCTGTGACAACGATATACCCACATACTGCTTTCACGTTTCGCATGCTTCACTTCTTTCAACTTCTTTCGTTCATGTCAAAGGTATCTGCATACGAGTTCTATCACACATTAGTTCGCTTGACCGATAACTCCGGGATGTACGCACCTCCAGTAAGGCTTCTTCATCACCTATTATCACATGAAAAGTTGCTTATAGGAGTCAGGACCGCTACCAGGCTTTTCTTCGGGTCATGCGAGAGTGGCGGCACATTCGTGCTTTGAAACGATTTGGGCGTGGGCACGAATCGAGTGGTATACAAGGCACTAAACAGGGTGAACTCGCTCTTCATTGCCCTGCATGCCCTCAACCAAGCATCAACTTACCTCCAGACTGGAACAAGAATCTGTGCGTCTCATTACAAGTTTACTCATAGTTCTCAGGTCCTGACTTTTCCCTCCAGAGCTCCTCGCTGGTTGTACCGCTTGTTTTTGGCTATAGATGCAAATTTCCGGCTCCGTCAACTGAACGTCTCTAGCAACGAATCCGACCTGGGCCTCAATCTCGGATATGCTTACTTTGTTGAAGAAACCGCTTTTCGTAGTCACCTTGATACATTTGGAAAGGTCATTCCCGAGGAAGAAAAGAGTACGTGTAACAATCATGATGCCGTCAAGCTTGCAAATAGTAGAGGTGGACACGGTGCCACAGCAACAGGGGTTGGTGCTGTTGTCTGTGGATGACATGATATGAAACGTCCTATGTCAGTCGGAGACCTCCAGAAAGGCGAAAGGTATGGATTTTATGAGAAATCGTGTTCAATTCTGAACATATTATCAGATATCTCAATATGGACTATTTCGTTTTATCAACCTTATCGGATGACACGCCTCCTGAGTTGGTGATATCATATGACATTGCATGTCAGTGGCATAAAAAGTTTTTCGCTCGAATTTCCCAGTATCCCGAATCACTACGACCGATGCAATCAGAGCGGAATATCCTTTACCTTGTGCCAAAATTCCATCTGCCAGCCCACGTTTTGAAATGCCGTGACAACTTTTCCTTCAATTTCTCTGCTGGAGTTGGTCGCACCAACGGCGAGGCTCCTGAATGTGGTTGGGCTGCTACCAATGCTTTAGCAGCGAGTACCAAAGAGATGGGTCCAGGTGCTCATCGAGACACTTTGGATGACCATTTTGGAGATTACAACTGGAGAAAAATCATCATTCTAGGTATGTAATTCTTTTAACAAATGGAATCAGCTAACCTCTGGTTTTCAGCGGATACGCTTTGTGATCGGCTGAAGGAGGCGGTCAAAGCCCGTATCGAGCATGTCGAAGAGTTTATAGGATACGAGGATGCTTTGTGGGTCGAGCATTCAGAATCTGTCGACTCATGGAGACAAATGGTCCTTTTATGGGAAACCGATTGAACACAGCAGAATCCCTTTGCACTGACTTTGCGCTGTAAGTCTGCCTGCATGACATCATCAATATCTGATTCTCACTTGTACCATTTAGCTGTGACTGAAAATGCTGTGCGTCTGGAGCTCGCAAGAGAAGAAAAGAATGTTTCTGCTGTAGAAATTCGGCATGATGTTAGCCCCAGCGAGTTAATTGCACAAGGATTACAGCTAGAAGAGGCCCAGTATGTTTCCGTATCATCTGATGGAATGCCGTCCCTGACTATTTTGACAGGGTGCGACTGCAATATGATATCGATGCCCTTGGTCCACATTCAACAGATCTACAACGCACCAAAGTTCAAGCCCAGGAGAACCGTATCAGCCGCAAAATCGAAGCATGGATTGATGTGCAGAAGGTATACATGCCTAGGACCACACTTCTACATGCACAGGATGATGATCGCCGCATGGTTGGAGCAGCTGTGCGGCCTTCAAAGATTCCTCTATATCTCCCTTCTACCACCCTCAGGCTCAATGCTATTGATGCATTGACCCAGAGCACTATCGTCAACAATGAGTGGTGTCTCCGTCTTGCTCAGGCTAATGATGCCTTGGCTGTGCTACGTGATCATCTTCTTCTAAAATCTTATCTCACGACGTGGCGACAACACTTTTCCCGAGGACAGCGCTACGGCACTAAAGCAAATACCTTATTTCACTGAGTAGAAGACAAGATTGCTGCCGACGTTTCAAGATATCAATGAATCTACACAGCATTGGCATCGATGTCCGTGAAGTTAAACCAGTATGAATGGCAGGGGATTCTCCGCCCTCTAAAGGATGAAGATGTTCGAGGTCTTGATCAGTACAATGAGTCGACTTCAGAGGGACATCGCAATCTGGCATGGATTTGGAAAACCAATCTCCTAGGTGGAGATAAAGGTCTCCAGGAAGGTAAGTGTCTGTTCGCTCAAATCTGGGTTCTTACTGAGCCCGTTCTTTGATAGTGTTGAGAATTGAGTGGTGCAAGTCTTGGGCACTGAGCTCAACGGTGGCAAGAAGAATGCGCGTTATTGACTGAGGAGTTGCGTCGTGTCCAGGCTACTTTTACATACTATTCCCAGCTGTGGACCAAGTGAGCCGAGTTGAGATTGCTCCCTGGTGCAAGAGCTTATGCTTTCAGGCAAGCAGCACTATGGAGCGAGCTACAAATGGATGCAAAGCTAAATGGCACAACGTCCAGACTACTCTGGACATGAATTCGTTGACACATAGCATAGCAACTACAGATCTCGATGGCCGTACTAACAGCGAAGTACATAGTACGTAGTTTTTCTAATGTCAAGTCAGGTTACAATATGATAAGAGTCGGGTTGTGATATATCGAGATCAGTACATCAATAACTACTCATCACGATCGACTTCAATAGGAGTATAGTGGGACAGCACGATAACATGGGGATGACCAAAAACGTGACGGATCTTTTGGAACTCACAGGTGACCATGTTCTCTAGGTCATCGAGCACATTGATGATTGCACTGCGGCTCCAACTATGCGGGCCCCGATGACTATAAAGCCACAATTGCTTCAGACCCATAATAAAGAGTGTAAAATTCTCCTGTAGATTGGGTTTGGCAAAGGAATCAAGATAGAAGGGACGACAAACAATTTTTCGCTGCTCCTTATCTGGGCTTCTTCCCATGAACACTCCTGAAACATCCTCCAGCCACAAAAAAAAGTATTCTTCATATAGCCTGCCAAGGAAACACAGCACTGTGTCTGCATATACGGCACGTTCGAAGTCCGGGCCAAACTCGGCAAGCCAGAGGCGCTGCTCTGGAGAATAATACAGTCAGATGGCATATTCGTACTCTGATGAAGCTGCGAAGACTCCGATAATGCTTCTGTTCGAGATTATTGTTAAGCTTAGGATGCAAGTATGAAGGAAACCAACTTACAGAGAACCATCTCCAATTCGATTATACCGGTGATAGTGAAATAGGTCTAACTCCAGAGACATATTCAACGCAGGAGGGAGTGCTATTATAGGTAGGCGATGAGAGCAAGAGGATAAGGATTCACTCATTGTGCGTTTGACTTTTGTACATTCCCATGGAGTCGACTTTGTACATTCCCGTGGAACCGACTTTGTACATTCTCATGACATCAACTTTGTACATTCTCGTGACATCGACTTTGTACATTCCCGTAGAATCAACTGTATGCAGTGAAGAAGCACGTACGATGATCGACGATGCATCTATTCAATCTGTATATTGTTGATGCCATAGAGCTGAGCTAAGCAACATGCACTGCGAACGGCATACTTATCGCGAGCATATTCATAATGGCAAATGACAAGCTGGAAATTTTTGGTATTAATTGTTCCTTACTGTATGTTAGTGCGATAAGAATATTGAGATGTACCCAACAGTTATTGATATCGCAACTGAATAGCATAGAAGGGTATAGAAAGATGCTTCCACTGAATAGGGGTATAGCAAAAGCAAAAAGAGACCCAGTGACAGTGTGTCAGTCCCCCGCTCTTCCCGGACGAATCGGTGGCTAAAGAGATTGCGAACTGTTGAATTACATATTTTACCATGAGCCAGTAGTACAGCTGCACAAAAATTTGAGATCCCATCACAGTAGTACGATCCTAGATCTGTACCTAAAGTGGATGAAAGGGCGCAGAATCGGGTGATGACGAGCAAGGAGGTGCGGAATCAATGTCTGAAGCGTGGGAAGTAGTGACCGGGTATGGCTGCAGCACGATTTTAGCATGCTGGCATGTGATTTTGGCAAAGTGCTTCAACTGTACAGAACTACAATAGAATGTGTAAATTGATCTGCACTGTATCTACCAGGAGAATTTGCACAATGTGGACGTTATAGACTCCTAATATATATGATTGTCTTCTGAAGCTGTCTAATCTACATGTTGCAACGCATCCGTTGCAACACTGTTGTAACACCCCGTTTTCTGACCCTCTGCTCCCTTGAAACGGACAAGCATTGCAACACACCGCTCAACTCCTAAATTTTGCGACCCATCTACTCATCAACATATACCCATCCTCTAGCCCCTTTGCATTGCGTGTAATTGACAGTCTTGCTACAGAAATCTATGTCAGCTCTGTTTGAGGCACACATCGTTCAGAGCGTACCTTGGTTCCTTGGGCTTCGCCATTTCTTCTCGTCTTGCGCTACGTCTTGGATGGATAGGCAGCTCGGCATTGTGCCTTACCACATTGTCAGTCATAACAAATCTGCACAATAAATGTACTCACTTGATACGCTTTGTAGTCAGCTCCTTTGAATGGCCAGAATCCGGACTTTTCTGTTTTATACTTCCTCCCGTCTCTTTGGATTGCTCGTTACCAGCTTGCGCGGTCTTCTTGAGGCGACCTCGAGCTCTCTTCGCCTTTACTGCTGTCCTCACAGGAGGTGCAGGTTCAAATAACTCTTCCACGATGATGGGTGCTAAAGGGTTCTCTACGATAGGTTCTTCCACAACAGGTAGCACAAATTCTTCTGCCATGGGTGTTAGCGGGCTATCCTCATTACAAAGCTCTTCCGCAATGGGTGGCAGAACTCCTCCATCAGGCGATTTTGTTGGATTCCCCTCAGGATCCCGTTCGGGTTGCGGAGTTGGTTGTCGCTGTAGTCGCATGCCCTTCAGCCAGTCAATCTCCTCATGCTCTCTGGCCAGAGAAACCTCTTTACGCGGAGAAGGTCGGTGATTGGGGGACTTGGCCTTGGACGGCAATGACTTGACACTGGCGTCTTTCTCAGGGCTGAGTGGGAGAGACTTGGATGGCGATACAGGCGTCATAGCATGGAACAATATAATGTCCAGATTTTGGCAAAATTGATTACAGCCGTTTGCATACAGCTTGACAGTCAGGGGCATTTTCATGGATGAAGAAAGAAGGTTTGGACTTCGTCATAAACCGTGTCTTGGGAGCTTCGAGCGCACAAATGGGCCACCGAGATCGCCGAAATAGCCATAAACCAGCCACTAGTGCGTCTTAAAGTCCCTAAACCAAGGTTTATGACGAAGTCAGAATCACTCTCTTCTCTCGCGTAAAACACATGCAACTGTCAAGCTCTATGCAAACAGCTGTAATTGACGAATTGACTTGATGGACGTGGAATTAGAGACAGTCCAGGCACGGTCCACGTGGTGGCAGTGCAACCCCTGTTCTTAATTGAAAAGCCACCGACGCGTAGGGGCTTTGTCTTGACCACAACCTCCTACCTTCGTTGGCCACCTCTACCACTACTAAGCGACGAGCGACAAGGAGTCGCTCGTCATATCCTCTACTGTCTGCAACTCAAGAGACGTCTACCCCTTCGAAGTCATCTCTCGATGAGGCCGCCCTCATTCTATTCATTGTTGCCACATCTTGGCTTGGTGGCACAAGGAAGGGCGCGATTGTAGATTAGGTGAGCGGCTGTTACAGGCCTCTTTTAGAGGTATTATGTGATTGGCAGTGATCACGGCGGTCAGACGTTGCTGCTTGTGCCCAAGCGAACTCAATTTACCCACGGCGGTGGTTGTGTCGGACTGTATTGCAAGCCGAAAATGAGATGTTGCAACGGACGGGTAGTGTTGCAACAAGAAGCAGGTATGGGATTGAAGGTTTTCTCTCTCTAAGTTACATACAATAAATTTCGCGTTACAACGCGTTGCAACATGTAGAAGTAGCTTACATATATTGTAACTATTGATAAATACACGAAATTATTGCGTTGTAACGCGTTGCAACAGGCTGAACGTCTAAGATGTTCTTGGGTTGCAACAAAACCCATGAAAAGTCAGAGTCTGCAACTTGTTCTTGAAGAGGTACAAACAGGAGATCCAAGAGTCCCAAGCAGAAGGAAGGCTGTTCAAAGAGCCACCCATTCTATTGGATCCCCCCTCTGACGACGAAAGCGATGTCGAACATCTACAAAAAGTGGTCGAAAATTGGAACAGTGATAGTGAAAGTGAGGTGGATGAATCTGAGTATGAGTCAGACGGATCATTTGGGATGAATGAGTCTTAAAGAGGGGGTAATGTTATGATTTTTCTATTTTTAACTTCTCAGCGCTTGTCTTTATCTTATCAGAGCATCCAAGCGCTCAGACAGTTCACACATTGTCAACGCTTGACTCTCGCATTGTAGGTGTGACACATGGACATCATACGATTCTCTTTGTTTCACGCATGGTTACCATTCAGTAGTGTACTATTATTAGCATACCAAAAGTGTATTTAAGTAGAGCCTCAGCTGGCCCAAACCCCAGCTTTGGCTAAGGTTTAATCTACCCAACTCAAAGCTCCTCACTCTGCGACTATCTAAGTCTAGTTACTGGCTCATCAGACCAGCATTGCCTACATCATGAGCAATTCACCAAAGTGCGAGTGGCATTTTCTTGTTTGACATTGTTTGTCGAGTTGGTGGCTAACATCATGAAAGGCATGGTGGACTTTGGTGTTGGTATCACTGTAACAGAGTTAGTATGAAGCTCAAGCTGCTCAACAGGTTGGGTAAAAGCATGTACTACTTGCAAATAAAGACTTGCTTGTAAGCATGCTGCTTACAACGTACCACTTACTCACTAGATCACTCCGATCACATTATAGTTCACCACACGTCATGTACTCACATATATAGCAATGTTCGTTACCTTCCTTTCTTCACCTTTTACCACCATCATCCCCTTTCTCCCTGCCACGTAGTTGACTACCCTTTTTCATCCCTTCGAATATATGTCATTCCTCGTATCTTCTCGTGTGATTGTCCTTTAGTGGTCTCGCTCATATTCAGGGCGAGGTTACACTTTTTTTTTTTTTACGAACGAACTTCGTATTCCCTGTTCCCGCCTTATCACCCTCAGGACGTAGGTCGATGTGTCGACTATCGTCCACTACCAGTTGCCAGCATGCCTATTGGTTCTTGCCAGTCTATGCCTGTGCCCGTTACCACCCTGTTGCCAGGTTGAGTCGCTTCTTCAGGCTCGATAAATTTGCCCGCTGACCATAGATTAACATCAGGTTGCATTGTTCCTCCATCCTCATCTCGCACTCGCCGATCTTGCTCAGTATCCGTACCCTTTGAAGTTCCGGACATGGTACCAGAAGAAGATGAAGGAGATTTCACCACCCCAGCTGGCAGCCCACCGACGTTAGCAAGCGTCGCAGGCCCGCCCTTACCAGCCCTTACCACCTTCCTGTCCATGTCTACCTTAACCACCTTGCCGTCATCAGTATCCTTCGCCTCTCCAGACAGACAGAACTCCAGGACATCAAGGACCCCATCTCCAGCTCTGCAACAAAAGCCAAAGCCTCCATCCAAAAATCATGTCTTGGACTCTTCCTCAGATTATTACTCTTCCAGCCCCATACCCATGAAAATAACCAGCCCCAGTACCATGTCCTCCAACATTCCTTCTGCTGATCAACCTGCTTGTGTACAATCACACGGAGGTAGAGCACCACCGACGCTTGGATGTGGACATCTTCGAGATCCTGAAATGATGAGCCACTATGCAGACGTTGGCATAGCCTATGTGCGCTGACAGATGCAGAAGGGCATCACGTTACCCGATATCCTATCCAATTTCGTAGATGGTCTTTCTGACAACCTAGCGGCTGTCACTTGGTTCAAGCAGAATGAACAACACTTGATCCAACTACCCTTCAAGGACTTCATGGCTGCCTTCTAAGACCATTTTTTGCCGACGACTTGGAAGAAGGACCTAGTGAATGAGATTTGGCAAGAAATGATGGCTCTGGGCACTATTTTTATTGATTGGATTGAGAACCTCTGCAGTCGTAATGGCCTTCTATCGGGTTATACCGAATTCATTGTCGACAACGTTTTCCTCTCTAACTTGTGCGGTTGTATATCGAAGCCCCTACAGGATGCCATTTGCAACATACCTGAAATCTGGGAATGTAATGACCTCGATGCATGGATCAAGTTGGTCATGGTCCAGGACGACGAGTTGCACCATAAATGCAAGGAACTCGAAGACATAGTGGAGGCAACGATGGCTGCCCATAACAAGCGACCTAACCTCGCAAACTCTGAGATGACCACAGCTCCTGCACCTGCTCTCCAACGAACCAGCCTGCTCACAACAATTATTGTTTCCTGCCTCGTCGCATGAACTCAGCCCCACCCACCTCATCGTCAAACACACCCTTCACGTACAAGTATCAGAGCCGTTTGGAGGATGATGAACGTGCCGTGTTGGCAGCAAATGATGGTTGTTTCGCTTGTCAGGACATCGATATCCCTAAAGAGGAGCAAGGTTATGGGAAATGTAAAGGATGCCTGCCACCAGCCACAGGATATGAATGTCGTACACCAGAATGGGTCATCCACCATCGTGCAGATAAGGCAAAAGGTCTTCCCTTGTTCATGATTGCTGTTGTAATGAACAATGCTGCATCGACATTGACGCCTGCTCCAGCACCAGCTGCACCTACCTCGGTATCGACACCCACCCCAGCAGCCACCACACAGGTCCTTGCCACCATGGCTTGGCCAGTCGCTGCAGCAGTTCTGGCCAACGACTCCAGTGTACTCAATGCTACCAACATGGATGGAACTGAGGCTGATGCCAACCTTTCGATTGACTCTGAAGCTGTGAGTAAACCTCCTCCTGTCCCCTTTGCTGTCCCGCATCTCCTGTGGAATTGTGCCCTCGATAATCGTGATCCTAGCATGTTGACACCCCGTACTAATATTACTGCCTTAGTAGACGATGGTGCACACCTAGTCCTCATTCGCCTGCAACTTGTTGACCATCTACATTTGAAACGTTGCCCGCTACCAGAACCTATAGAAATTGGTGTTGCAGTATCTGATTCCCCATCTCCTGCCTGCAAATTAACTGAATGGGTCAAACTCAAACCCCATGATATATCCAATGCCTGGTCCTCTCACACCGTCCATGCTATCATTGCTCCCAGCCTATGTTCAGATGTGATTCTCGGCCTACCCTTCCTCAAAGCCAACCAAATTGTAGTAGACCATCACGCCCGTACCGTTATAGCCAAGCAGGCTAATTTTGACCTTTTACACCCTACATTACCTGTTCCCCGCCCTAATCCAGTCCCTTTTGCGACTGTACATGCTCAAATAGCTCATAGCAACCATACCGATTCTCATGCTCTTCCCTTCTACCACCTGTCGACAGACGAGACTTCCCTTGCAGTTTTAATTGATCCCGCTTATGAAAAACTTTGTAATTCCGATGTTATTGCTGCACTACATATGAATATAGAGCGTCTAGCTTTTCTTGATCACCTGAAATCCTTGCACAATGAGATTAAAGAAGAATACAAGGATGTGTTCCAGCCATTGCCACATGCAGATTCACTACCGATGCACACAACTTGTAAAATTAAGCTGAAGAATGCAGATAAAGTGATTACATCCTGTTCTTATTCCTGCCCACATAAATTCTGGGAAGCATGGCAAACACTCATCGAGAAGAACATTGATGCCGGCCGCATATGCCCATCTTCATTGCCTTACTCGTCGCCATCCTTCCTGATCCCAAAGACTGATAGGACAGTACTGCCTTGTTGGGTCAATGACTACAGGACGTTGAATGTGAACATGGTCTCTGACAGATATCCTCTTCCATGTATTGATGATATTCTAGCTGACGCTGGTCAAGGCAAAATCTGGAGTAAACTGGATATGACAGACAGTTTTTTTCACACCAGGATGGATGAAGCCAGTATTCCATATACCGCCGTGAACACTCCTTTTGGTTTATATGAATGGCTTGTTATGCCTCAGGGCATGAAGAACGCACCGGCAATACACCAACGCCATGTGAATCACGCTCTCCGACATCTGATTGGGAAGATCTGTCACATATACCTTGATGACATTATTATATGGT